CTGGGGACTCGCGGAGCTGCATTAGCACCATTAGCCCTCTCGCTGCTCTGGATCGCATCTCACAGGAAAAAGGCACGGCAATGGGAAGAGCCTTAGCTGCAATCCCACCCTGCCTCCAGGGCTCTCAGATCCCCTCAACCCAATTCAGGGTTTTATACTCTTCCTTATATAGGTCCAGGCTAAAAAAGGACCCACCTAAAAGCTCCAGGTCCTTCAGCTAAGAGAGATCTTTCAGGAGACATATTCCAGACTTAGGGTAGACGTCCATTCTTCTCCCCATCTTTCTCTGCTGAGTGCCAAAAGGTTGACAGAAGACTTGAAATGATTGCTTTGCTTTATAGGTACTGAGAAAGATTGAGGGGAGAGTAGGAGGAGGGAGAACAGGGCAGGGGGGCACAAATCCCATTTCAGCCACACACCAGCTTGGCCTTGTCCTCTGCCACAACTCTGCAGTTTTCTGCTGCTCTTGGCCATCTCAGGCAAGGAGCAAATCCTCCCACCAGAGCACAGGCACTGTCCTTTATTTGGGATGGGCTCGTTCTGGCCCACAGCAGCATTTGTGAGATTGGGGGGTGGCTAAAGACCTTTATATTTGAGGCAGAGGAGGGCACTGCAAATGCTCCCAGGAAGGAGATGCATCCCTGCAGTGGGTCCTGTGGCCAGTAATGCTTTACCAACCTGTTTTCATCGTGCCAAGCTCAGGTGGACAAGAGGTGCACCTCACTCAACATCCCAATCCCAAGCACTGCAACTGGATGTCTGTGGGAGAACACAAGGAACTCTGCATGAGCACAGAGTGATCCTTTGGGTGTACCCTTACATCTTCCAGCAGCCTGCAGGTAGGGGCTCCTTCAGCCAGATACTGCAGCTCAGCTACTGGGTTTAAAAGGCAAATTGTCATATCAATCCATGATTTTATTTAGTTTCTTTTGTCTCTTTTGTTGCATGGGGTGACTGCAACATAGAGCACTCGCTCTCCTTCTGTGCTCACTGCTTCCCCAGCACCCCATCCCAATGACACTCCTCTCCCTCCAGCCTCTCCTACTGCAGGTGCTGCCTCCCCAGTCCTTACCAAGCTGTCTGCTTCCCAATAGCTTTGTGGCAGAGGGATCTGTCCAGCTCCCCCAGTTTCTCCTCTCCAGCCTCCAGTAGTTGTGTTCCTAAAGCCTATCCTATATGAAACCAGTGGCTCCATCTTCCCTCTTCTCATTGCACCTGACTTTTAGACTTTCTCAGATCACAGCCATCCCCTTCTTGGGATGACAGCTTTGCTTCCTGCCCTCCACAGTGCTGTGAAGCTGGGAAAGGAGCAGAAGCACAGGGAATGAATCGCCCTGAAAGCATGCTGTGTCTGGAGTAGAGCTGGACCTTAGCACATCCCTTCTGGCTGGGGCTGGCCTGTGAGGGAGAGGGGATGTAACTTGGCAGATGAGCAAGTGTGACCAGAATGAGGGGCTGAGTCGGTTCAGGCTTTGACCTTAGCACTGGCAGCTGGCTTACAGGGCAGCAGAAATACTGCTTTGGCACTTCCTGGGATGCAATCAGCTTGCCTATCTGCCCTATTAGGACAGAGACATCACTTGGGCAAGGGCTTGCATGGCTGTAGATGCCATGAGTGGTGCCCAGTAACAGCCCTGACTTGTTTCTTTGTTCTGAGGAAGAAAAATGTCCTTTCCATCCTCACCTAATTACTTTCTTATGCAGCAGTGGAAAGAATGCTTGTGCCTAAACCTGAAACGAGAAAATTATCAACACCATAAACAAAGCCATAAACTAAGCAGCCAAGGGCCCAGGCAGTGCTCAAACCTAGAGCAGGCAACACTAGAGCAGGGGCCATAAGTGGATTCCTCCTTCCTAGAAGTGCTGGGTCACCCCAGGGAAGAAGACATTTAAAACAGTCCCAGGGGACGACACCCCCACAGGAGCCTGCACTCAGGACCCAACAGTGCTGGGGCTGCAGGAGCCTGTGCCTAGCTAATGGGCCTGAGGAATGAGATATCCAAGCCCAACAGAGCCATCAACGGCCCCCCGACACCTCTTGTAGCCACCCCTGGCTGTGGTGGAGCCTGGCTCAGGGAGCTGGCATCCCTTCTCAAATCAGCTTAGATCCGTGTTTATAGTAACCCCCCAGACCTGGACACTGAGCTCCTTCCAGCCTCACACATGCAAACACTTCTTTGCTTTTGCAGGGACGTGCTGACGCTGTTTGATCTCATGGAAGCACAGCAGCAGAGCAGGGGCAAGCTGAGGGCAGTGGCCCCCAACCCCTCCACCCCAGGGCTGTCTGGTACAAGGGGCTGCAGGCACAGGGGTGCCCCGTGCCTCATTTCATACTTGGCCATCCCCCAAAACAAACCCATTAGAAAAGGGGAAGGGCAGGTTCTGTGGGGAATCCTAGTGCAGGTTGGGCTTCAGCATGTGGCTCAGTGGGGGCTCAGCAGGCAAACACAAAATACCTCATTGCTCAGGAACTTGCACAGGCAGAGTGTGGATGGTTGGCCTGCTTGCTGCCGAGATCAAATCCATGCCTGGGAAGAGAGATCAGCAGTGGAGAGAGGACAGGGCAGTAAGCTGGCAAGCAAGGTTCAACAGCCCAGCCCCCATCAGCAGAGAACACAGGGGTCCTCCGGGGAGGCAGGCTTCAGGAGAGCAGCTCAAAGTGCTGTTTGATGCCTTCACTTCCCTTAATTCTCTGTGTGACCTAGGCAGCAGAGATTGCACCAGAGGAGAGGCCGAGGGCAGACACTATTGCAGCACCTCTCCAAGTCTATGCTTTCCAGGGCTAGGACACCGAGCTGAGTGAGGCAGACCTGGAAGCCAGTTCAGAAAGCAAGAGGCTCATCAGACATTTCAGAGAAGAGGAGCAAAGGTGGCCTGCATTGATGGCATGGCCCTTTTAACCTGCCCTGTCTATGGCAGAAAAGGTCAGGTGCTTGGGCACCTGAGCATCAAAGCCATGGGCCAGAGGCAGGGGGGTTAAGGTGGGCTGTGACCTGGAAAGATGATTATGAGTCGCATCTTCTTTAGCCCTCTCAAAGGACAGGGAAAAGGGCCTCTTAAAGACTGTGCTGATGGGGGGCCCTCTATGCCAGGACCTCTCACACCTCCATTCCCCTGCCCATTGGGTCCCCCCAGCTCTGCACACTTTCCTTGGTGTAGTAGCACCTGGGAGCCATGCTTCCAGGGCCAGTTGGCTCCCAGATGTGGCTCCTGGCATTGGATCCCTTCAATTAATTAGCCCCTTTTCTTCCTTTTCAGAAGGGTTCACAACCCACATGTGCTCCTTCCTCTGCTGCGAGCAGACCCCTAACGCACTGCAGCTGGGGCACATTCCCTGGATTCAGAAGCTGCCTGCAGCTCCCGCAGAGGAAGGAGTGCTCCCCCTGCTCAGGGCTGAAGGGCAAGGGAAGGTTGGCCAGCCCCACTGGCTTAAAAATCTGGGTGTGGAGCCAGCTGTGTAGAGGTACAAGTCACAGCTTCTCTGAAAAGAGCCATCTCACACCAGGAGGGAGAACAGGGCTGCTCTGAGGAGCTGAATAGAGAAAAATTTTGAGGTGGCAGTGATCTCTGGAGAGGATCTCTATAACCATGGGCTGCAGGAAAAGCAGCTTCTGAATTTGCAAACACAGCCAGCAAATCTTCCATGGACAGCATTCCCACCCCTTGCCTTTGCCATGAGATACAAACAGCTCAGCAGCACTCATGGCACCCAGGGAAGCAGACACTCCCACCCAACAGACAAGCCACTCCAGCCAAACACACAACCTGGCCTTCCAGCCACCTATACCCACTCTTGATGCATCCCTCAGAGCTTTGGGGTATATCTCAGCCTCTCCTTGTGAGGAGGCCACCAGCAGGCAGCTGAGGGCTGTGTGGATGGTTTGTTGTCAGAAAACAGAAGAAAAACTTTCCGAGGTTTGCTGGTTTTATTGTTCCTTCTGCTTTCATTCAGCCAGGACCATCTCCAAGGTGGAGGCACAGACCAGGCAATGGGGTGTCCCACAACTGGACTTCTTGATCGCGCTGTTGTCTAAATGTATGTCCAAGCATTACTATGCTGAAAAAGAGGTTACTAGAGGAGACAAAAACATGTTGCTAGGAAGAAGAAACCTGCAGAGCAGGACCATATGGCAGAACCCAAGAGATGGGAGTGCAGAGTGAGGCAGAGAGGAGATTGCGGTGGGCTCCTGCTGTAGAAAGGCCCTGGATGAGCTGGTTGCAGAGCACAGCTGGTTCCTTATTTTTCCATCACACTATTTAGAGCCCCTTCAGCAACTCCTCAGGAGAAAAAAAAAAAACACCTCAGCTAGAATGGGACTCATGCAGAGCTACAGCAACTCAAGAGAATCTGTCCATTTATAATTAATGAAGTCCTGTTTGCAGTGATCCGACTGCAATCTCCCCTCTTCCCAAGAGGCTGATCTGGCCTCTCTGCTTCTTCAGTACCTGTGGCTGGAACTGCATGTGGTGTGGAAAGGGGCCTGGAAACAAGGAAAACCTGAGCATGCCTGAGGAGCAGAGAGGCTGCCCTGACCAGGAAATCCATTCCATCATGCATTCCCTGCAGGAGCAAGCCTGCTCAGGACATCAACCTGATGGGGGGCTTCAACTGCTCCACTCATTAGTCATCTGTCCTCACAAAAACAGGAGAAAAAAGGAAAGAAGGAAGCAGAACCTTTTGCCATTTTTATGGGCTGTAACCCATGAAGAGGGAATACTCCCCTTGTGGTCTGGGCACTGCTAAAAGGAGTGTGGAAAGGGCCCTGATAGTGTGAATTTCCATAACCTTTTCTTCCCCTTTTCACTGGGGTCTCAATGCCAGGAGGCTCTTCCTGAGGCAGACATTGAACATGTGTGTTATGGACTAGAAGGGAACCGGGAAGCAGGAACAGGAGCTTGAGGGTATGCAGGGAGCCTGATGAGATGCTCTCCTCACTGGGAAGTCTCCTGGTACAAAGGCAGTGCTTCCTAAGGAGCCCACAATCTGCAGAAAACATAAGATGCAAACAAGTTGACCTGACCAGGCAATGCCCAGGTTGTGATGAAGAAGCTCTTCCTGAGAAATTCCTCCTACACTGAACTTCTCAACAAGAAGACCAGAAAGAACAAACTTGAATCAAACTTTCAATTCTACAGAGTGTTTGGGATTAAAGTAGTTTCATTTCTGCTTCTGATTCCAAAGCAACCTTTCTAAAAAGCAATGATTCATTTCCTTCAAATTGCTATTCCTTCCTCAAGACCCTCATCTTGTCAGCCCAGGGCATGGGAAACTTGGACTTAAAGTCCTTCAGCCCATCAGTTTTGCATAACAAAGTGTAACTGATGATGGTTGCACAGATCCTGAAATAGGAATGACTGGTGAGGGTGATGTTATATCTGTATATTAGTTTGTTTACTCTGTCATCCTAAAATTGTGGGATCACTCCCATCACAAGATTTTAGGTGCTTTCCTACCAGTTTGCGCATTGCAATGGCTGTGTGAGCAGTGATCTCAGTTTATTACAATGCAATCATTTCAACTGAATGTTTAATAGCTTACTAATAAGTGAATCTTAGGGAAATGCAAAAAGTGGCAATTACTGGTGGCATGTGTTAGAGCTTAAATAGTTAGTCATCACGCAATAGACTAAAGCATTGACACTTTACAGTCCCATTGGGTAATTATTGGGATTAGGCTGAGTACCCAATTTCCCAGCTATGACTTCATAGGCTGGGAATTCAGCTCTCCAGTGACATCACAGCTCCAGAAGTCTCCCTCACTAGTTGCCAGGCTGACTCTACTGTCACCAGCTCTACATACAGGTGTGGCACATAGCCTTAAGAAAGGAACCCAGACTCTTACAGGAAATAAGAATAATGATGAATGAGAATTTAAAAAGGAAATAAATGCAGGACAACTGCAGAGAAGATGAGTAAAGCCCTCTTTTATGCCACACCACATCAGGTCATAATTTTCTGAGAAAAGCAGGGAGCTTGAGATGCAGAAGCATCCACTTCCCACCCAAACAGGAGCCACATCAGGCACAAAAGTCCATAACAGGATTAAAGATTGTGATTGTCTTGGCAGTTGTGACTATCCTGCCTCTCTAGAGTTTGCAGGTCAGGACAAAAGCAGAGACAATGCAAGCCTACCCTCTCTGATGATGACTACCCTTGCCTCCGTACTGAGCTCTGGCATGCCTTCTCAGGCTATGCCTTCCCTCCCTCTCCTTTTCCCCAGTTTCAGCCCATCTGAGCAGGCAAGAAAGCCTTGCACAGCTCAAGGACACAGCAGTGGCAATAGCACAGGTGGCCACCTGCCCTCTCACAAGGCTAGCAAGCTCTGACAGCAGGGGTGGCAGCCAAGGAAGGCAGCTGGCACCATGGAGGTGGAAAAGACCCTCGCCTTCCTCCCTCCCAGAGCCTGGCATCCCTGAGCCAAGGGAAGCACATCCTGGAGGATGGCAGGGCTGAAGAAGGCAGGGATGTTCCTGGGGAACATCCCTGTATCAGCAACATCAGGCCCAAACTGCCTGTTCTGAGGCTGTGCAAGCTAGGCTTGTCTACACATAGCTCTTGCTGCAGAGTAGCAGGAGGAAGGGAGACGGGTAGAGAGCAGGAAAGGTATTTGCATAAGCCAGGAGTGCAATCTGGGAGCAGATGAAAATGAAGCAACAGCACTAGCTAGCCTTATGCTCACTGTAGGGGCCAAGGGGATGCTGAAGGCTCCTCACTGAGCACAGAGCATGGCCAGGGCCACCCTACGTGCAGGAACAAGTGCTCTCTGTGGGGGCTCCTCTCAATGCCACTTTGGTCTCTAGTTCCATGAGGAGATGGGACCAATATGACCCTTGGCTTTCCTCAGTGCTGTCCCTGGCCCTAGTCACCCCGGCCTTGAAACCCACTTTTCAGCAAAGGCAGCTGCTCCTCTGGCAGGTGTTGCCTACCTGGTTGCTCTCGGTCAGGCTCTGTTTCCCTGCAAGCTTGGCCAGATCTGTGGGAGCTATGGAGGGTACGAACATCACTGACGAAAGCTTTAGGCTATGCAAATCACCAAGAGGTCCCAGTGGAGCTAAAATCCTATGTTAGAGCAAGTTTGGGGGCTTAGAGGGGTAGAGTGATAGGCCATCAGCATGGATCTCATCTCTGAGCTTGAAGGCACCATGTGTAGCTAAGGCGGTGTGGTATCAGCATCTTGTGCCCTGCCTCATCCCCACCATCCATAGGTTTCCTGCCAGCCTGCACCCAAGGCTGGTTGTCCTTCCCACACCAGAGAGCTGGTGCCCCTCTCTGGCAGCTCACTGCTGCCACCAGTCTTACCACTGGGACTGTGCTTCTCCCTAGTACATCTTTTGGAAACCAGATCCAGGCCCAATAGCAAGACACCTTCCCCAGCCCGGGGGCAACACCTTTTCAGGCCAAAACTGCATGTGAAGTTTGGCCCAACAAAGCAGCAGCCCCATTTATTTCAGTTCCCGCAGCAATGCAGGGAGGTGCTCTGACCTGCAGTGTCTTCCAGACTACAGAGCTGCTGGAGAGGTTGAGGCAAACCACAGAAAATACCACAGAGGCTGGTGGCCAGCTCTAGCCCTGTGTCTCCTCACCAGGACAGATCCAACCAAGCCCGATGCACCCTAGGGGTGAATCCATGTTACCCATATAACCAGGGCAGCCTCTTCTGCGACAGCTCCAGTGCTGCTAAGCAGAGCCCGAGGGTTGAGGGATCCTCCAGTTTGCCTCCTTTCTTCCTCTCAGTCTGACTCTAGATTACTGTGAACTACAGCTGACCCACAGCTCTCTACGTCACCTGTCCCTGCCCCAGTATCCATATCCTATATGGCACCAGCCCCTTGGCCCCTGCTCAGTTCCAGCCTCCAGCTGGCTTTGGGGCCACTGCTAGAAACATTATAGCACACCTGTTCTTCAGATGAGGGTTTACAGCCAAGGCTAGCACATCTGGATTGTAGAATAGACATTTGGAAGTTTATCAACACGTTTCCAAACAGTCTGGGTATGGCAGAAACTCTGCCACCCCAGCCCAGAAAATGAACTGCCTCTTCCTGATACTAGTGGTCCAGGAAGCTGTGTCAGCAAGGTTCCAGGAGGGAAACTGGGAAGTGAAATACAGTGCCCTTCGCACCCCAGAACCTGCTGATGCAGCTGTACCAAGCCTAGACTACAGCCAAACATCTCCCAGAAACTCCATGTGCTCAGAAAGTTGATTGTGAATCTGCACTATGTGCGTTGGGCGGAGCTCCACCAGCTTGGTCCTGTGCAAAGCTCAGCTGCCTCCAGGGCTTTTGCTCTCACTGAAGTCCTCAGCAGTAGCAGCATCAAGCTGCCACTAATGGGTTTGTCAGCACCAAGCAGATCTGAAGGAGGAACATGGCCCACTGCCCTGCGTTGTTTCACGTGCACAGCCCCTCTCATTGTATTAGTTTCTCAGATGTGCAGCACTCACACCAGTGCTAAAAACAGACCTCCCACGTAAGTATTCAGTAACATACTCTGATTTTGGTCTCTTCCCAGTCATCCCATGCCAAAAGAAACACAGCTGATACTTCGGGGTGTGAGTGACACACAGGCAAGAGACACAGACAAACTGTAAAGCTGATAGAGCAGGAGGTAGCTCTATCCCCAGCGTGCAGGAGAGCTTTGGTAACATAGTGGTGGTCGCTTCCCACAAGGTTTTCAGATGGTCTGGGTCTAAGTTCACAGCAGTTGATTAACAAACCTTTCATCTCCTTCCATTTTGCCCGTCCAGCTGCAGGTGAAGGCAACAGTACTGACTACCATGCTACACTCTCATCAACCCGGAAGAGAAACGACTCTGCTAACCTAGTGGGTGAGTACTGCACAAATATCTACAGGAGCTGGCAAAGGTGGCACAAAAAGAGAAATTTTTTTCAAGCTGTATCAGTCTCCTCACTTCTCTGCAATGCAGCACACTGTACATGTATTTATACCTATTTTACAGGCCTTTGGAGGCTTGGGAAAACCTGGATTTTACCAGCAGGTCTTCCCTCCCTAAGCCACATGCTCTCAGTAATATTAAACTATCTCTTTAGAGTCACAAACTCAAAGTGGTTCCAAGCTCAGAGGATTTTAGTGGAGGAGGCTGGGAAAAGATGAGGGTGAGAAGGCCAAGGGTAAGCCCAAACCTTCAAACACTGTATCTGTAGCAATGGAGATGCAAATACATTTCTATAGTGCTTTGCACTCAGCCAGTTTCTCTGTTGTTATGCATGTTTTAAAAACCTGGGTGCAAAGTGGAAAAGAGACCACCACACACGTGTCCCCTCTGTGTTTACCCATATTCCTTGCTGGGCCCTCTGGCACTAGAGTGAGCCCTGTCACATAGAACTGAGGGCATTCTGTAGAAAATGCCTGAATTAATGTGAGACCTGTACACAGGCCACTGCTTAGGGAGAACAAGCATGTTTAGCTGCTGCTACCACTGAGCACCTATAACATTGTCTGAGGTCCATGCTAGGGCCCAGTTCACTACTGGATACTTCTTCCATGGTACCTGGAGAACCTGCAAAGATGCTAGCAGCAATTCAGGGTGAGAGATATCGCAAGACATGACAGAGAAGAACATGTTGGAAAACAAGGGAAGGGGATTCAAAACATCATTTGGATCTTCCCAAGAAAATTCCCCTCTTGTATCTGGATTTGTCAGTGGGCCCATCTGCCCAGACCATCCCAGATGGTGTATTTTTGACAGAGAAGGCAATGTAGCTTAACATTTCTCAGTAAATTGAGCTGGTCACCTCTAAGCTTACAGGTCACCGAGTCTGCTGTCTCTTCCTCCCCCCCTAGAGCATAAATCTGACCCCCACCCCAGGCCCTTCCTCCCTGAGGCAGGCAGGTCCTCCTTATGACAGCCAGTGCTTTGTTTAGCAGCTCAGCCAACACTTCCTCCCCAGGGAGAGCATAACTCTGTAGAGGCAAAGGTCAAGTGTGCTCTTCCCAACGCTAAGGGTTTGCCTTTGCCACTTAATCCAGCCTGAGATCTCACAGCCAACACAGAGCTTCCCCCAGTGCTGGGAACACAGCCTTTGTGGGCAGAAGAAGGCATGCACCTGGGGCACAGGTACAAGTGCAAATATCTGCCCTTTCCCACAAGCCTTCAGGGCACCAGCAAGAAGGCATCTAGGAAAACAAACCCCCACCAGATACTTCATTGCTATTTTGTGAAATAACCCTGCTCTCACTCCCACCAGTTCAGGCCTAATGCCAAACGCCAGGTGGCTGTTGATGCCTAATTTCCACTAACTTCCACAGTTGCTTTACAGCCCTGCCTCCTATTGGGAAGACTGGAAGTAAGCCAGCTTTACCACTGGAGTGTCCAGAGGCAGCAGCTCAGATGGCTTCCAAAAGCACTCTGCTGTGCCCCAAAGTGCTCCTGTCCTCCAGGGCTCAGCCACAGCCCTGCAAGGAGTGGTGTGGGCAAGGGAGCAGTGAAGTACCCTATCACTCTTGGTTTCACATTGGACGTGAGGAGGAAACAGGCTCCTACTGTCCTCAGCCAGCCATGAGCCTCACAGCCATGGCCAAGCAAGCAGGTTGTCCTGGCAGCATCCCCTGGTGCTCTCCCACATGCTCACAGACTGGTTAAGGTGGGATGGAAACTCTGGAGAGGGGTCCAGCTCCTGCTCAGTCCAGGATGCTCAGAGAGTTACGTTCAGTTGGGTTTTTGAACCTCTCTGAGGATGGAGGCTCCACAGCCTCCCTGGGCAGTCTGCTCCAGCATCCTTCACTCTGATCTGACCTCTAACACAGGTGATCATCCACCACCTTTGCTGTAATGGGTTTGGTGGCCACCAGAGGAGGTGGAGGTGCCACTATTGGATGTGACACCCATGGACCTGCACAATGCTTTTAGCTGCACCTCCTGGCTCCAGTCCCAAGGGGCTCCCTCAACCCCAAGTTACAGGGCTTTGGTCAAGAGGCTAAGCCCAGAGCAGAACAGGAGTGTCTCCCTCATTTGCACTGACCACACAAACACAGTGATAGCAGATCCACCCCTTGCTGCTTCCCCTCATTTCTTGCATTCTGTTCAAGTCAACTGAAGAAGAAGGGGTAGGGGCAGGGAACATCATTTGGCAGGAAGACTTTCTTCTTTCAGAGTTTATTGCCTTCAAGATTTAGGAGGATTAACCCTTACACATAAACACCAGGCTCCCTCATGGCCACCTTCCCCACCAGCCCTGCAGTCAGCATGGATCCACAAGGATCGCAGGCCCACAAGCCTGTTTTCACAGATCTGTACCATTTTACCTCCCAGTGTTTTCTGGTTCTCATTATCTCTGCGGAGTTGATGACACTTAAGACATTTCATTTCCCTGGAGGCTTTTTCTGGCACTTTAAGTCTGACTTATGCAACACACTCTGATCACCCACTCTCACCTCTAGTTTGTTAACAGCTTGGCTGGCCAAGGACCCTTCCCCGCCCACCAGCAAGCTGAATCAAGCTGAACCTCTGTACCCACCGGAGTTAAAGCCTTGGCAGCTTTCTCCTCCTTTCCCTTCCCCTCTCATTCATCGATGGTCATTAATCACAGCAGCCTTTTCCCACAGGGGACCCGCCTCCACAGACCCAAACCTGCCCCTGCAGATGCCAGGCAAATCCCAGGGGCAAACACTGAACAAAGGCAAACCCGATTAGCAGTTGTCATGTAACACTACCAATGACCTTAGCCTGGTCATTAACCCCAGCTGCTGGGAGGGCATCACCAGCTTGGGGTCCCTTCCCAGCCCATCAGCATGTTTCTGTAGGTGAACACAGCCTCTTCCTCAGCCGTGTGACTTCTGTTCTTGCTAGAAACCAGCTCAGAAACACAAGAATTTGGGAACTAAACAGCTCTTAACACTTATCACTGCCTGTCCCCAGAGGCAAATCTAAATCCAAAGTACAGCTACAACACATGTATATCTGTTTGCAACACCTCATTGGAGGAATTAAAAAATGACAATGATACTGTACTCAGGACACGATGACAACTGCTTCCATCCAGCCAAACAAGGCTGGTCCAGCCTACTAAATGGTGCTAGAACTTCAGGCTGGGCATGGTACCAAACATTACAGTGGAGCCCCTCTACACGGCCCCTGGACATCTTTGCATTTGCAGGCCTGGCGACCTTTCCAAGCTTTTCTCCACCATCCTGCTATTTCTTTTCAGTCTGTTTCTTGCTCCTCGTCCACACTGCCTGCACAAGCTATTTTGCAGGAGGAAGGGTCATCTCTCTTGAACTGTCTGCTGTGCCGAATGTGAGGTGGAGTGAACTGCTGCTGCAAGGCAAACCTTTCATGACAGTATTGTACTTGGATGCATCGACCTCACTTGTGTTATGGGAAGGGCCTGTCCTCTGTCCCAGCCAGCCACTGCTATCACATGGAGAGGAAGGTGACAGTGCTATAACCTGGATGCCCCACACATTCCCTCCAAGACCTTTGCTGGGCTCACATCCAGCCAGGCCCACCAGGGAGGCAGATTGAATGAGGGCAGCTGGACAGGAGCCCTGCAAAGCCAGCCAGGCCTCCACATACTGGCCACTGAATTTGCATCCGAAGCCGGTAATAAATGAAGTGAAGGAAAAGTCTGGAACAGTGACCAAGTCTGTTTTGAGTCCTGACTCCAGAGAAGCTGGTGCAGCCTGGCAGGCGATACACAACTCAGCTGTCCCAAACACCATTGCTGAGCTGAAACTTCCTCCAGTGTGAGCCAAGTGTGCCATTCTACCTCCTTGAACTCCTGCAATCTGGTTAAATTGCAGGTAGGGAAAAGAACCTCTGCCCCCCTCCCAAAGCAGACTTTATGCATGCAGGGTGCAAGGGGGGTAGAGTCAAGAGAGCAGCTGCTCAGAGTGGTATGCAATGATTCACCACAGCTGGACAACCCCAGCCCCAAACTCTTAGGCCCCAAGACCCCAGCGACACATCACCTAGAGCACAAGGGTTCCTCAGCTCTCGTCATGCTTGTGAGCTCCCCTCATAACACAGGTGCCCCTTCCTACTCTGCTTGCAGAGCTTGGGCAGGCTCTCTTCCAATTGGATACCATCCAGAGCCTCCACTGAGGTCCAGGGAAGGGAGCAGGAAGTGCTCCAAGGGGCTGGGAGAAGGGACATGGAGGCCGAGGCTCAGGGGTTAGGTGGCCCTGCAAGAACCCAGTACTTGTGGGTGGTGGGGTGAGAGGTACCACGGGGTCAGACTTTTCTATTGCTACAGCTTCAGAGATTGCCCTCTTTCCATCTGCCTTCCCACCATCTGCTGAGGCGACTGCAAGGGAGAGGAGGTTTGCAAGGGTCACTCTTGGGCCAAAGCAGATGGAAAGGACCTGCTGTGAGCATTTTACAAGACATGGGCCAGACAGCTGCAACATGCCCCTCAGCCCTGCTGACAGCTCACTGGATCATCCAGCGCACAGAGTACCAGGGCAAAGGAGCTGGCTCACAACTGCTTGCACTGCCCCGGAGCTCCTTTGCAATGACAAAGGATCTGCAGCAGGACAAAGGAGTGAATTAACAAGCTGTTTAAGTCCTTCACTGGAGGCCTGAACAAACAGATGCTGCCAGGAGCTGGTCTCTCCCCCTCCTGGGGATCATCCTTCAAGTCAGAGACATTTTTCTCAGTGCTCCCTGAGGGGGAAAACCAGCAGAACCTTTGTTTGCTACACAGAGCTGCAGGGACTTCTCCTCCCCCTGTGCCTTTGAACACGCTCCAAATTTCTCAGCTCTGCAGGCCTCCAGACCTGGCCTGCTGCAGACCTAATTAACTCCCTTGTTCATTTATGGTCTTTTGTCACTAAAGCAAGTAATTGGTGCACAGAGGCAGCAGATCCTCGTGTGTGCTCACATGGACCTGACTGCTCCCTCTGGTCTGCTGGGGAAGCTCTCTCCTGCTCACCAAGCGTGCCTGCAGTACCTCTCTGTGGCTAGCTACTTCAGGATCATCTATGGAGAGCACGCTGCCTCCATTTCCAGCAAGCCCCTCAGAACCTTTGCGATCAAAAGACATGAGTCTTTTCAGGATGTGACACCTTTGAATTCAAGCAAGAAAGTTTGTCTGGACCATGGACCGCACCTAACCCCTTCTCCCTTGCTAGCACCAAGACAGCCCTTGGAGTTTCTCATCACTCCCTGTTTGCCTGTTTGCTCATGCACACAGTCATGCTCAGAAGCCTCCAGCTCAGTAGGCAGGCGCAAACACCGGGCCTGGCAGGGATGCTGCCACAGTAGTTTCTCCCTGTGTTGGTACTCACTCAGGTTTGCACACAGCCAGACGGATGTAAGAACATGACCCCACTGCTCTTTTACCACCAACCCCCCTGTGTTCCCCCTTAGCCCTGGCACCACAAGGATAGAGAACAGCAAAGAGTAGCAGGCCCTTTCATAGGGGGATAAGCTGGGCAGGATTATCCCAGGGCTCCTGGACCAAACAGACAGCTCCTCAGCCTTTGGAAAGCTCCCTCACCTTTGTTCCTTGGCCTTGTACGGTTGGGGGAAGGGATCCCAATGAACATGTTTGTGCTATTCTTCTTAATAGGGTGTTGTGTAACACAGAGGGAAGTGACTACACTGGGGACCCCAGCTGAGAACAGAGACTTTAATCCTGCTGTCCAGGGAAAACTTGGAAAAAATACCTACATCTGTTCTGTTGCATTAGGCTCATGGCTCAGAGGCTGACAGCTGACCCTGGCTGCTCATGATGCCAAGGTACAGCCCCTGCCAAACAGTGCCAGGGTAAATTACCATGACTGATTAGAAAGGCAAAAGGCAGCCAGAGAAAACTAGGAAGGGAGCTCTCCCTGAGCAGAAGGGAGAAGGGCACTTTGTCTTCTCCACTGCTGCACTGGCAGAGTGGAAGGAGTAATAGTGGAAGAGACGAGGGCAGAGAATGAGATGTAGGGAGTGGGATGAAAGTGAGGAGGCAGACAAGAAACCACAGCTGCATCCACCTCTCCACAGGGCTCACCAAGGATGAGCTTCAGGAGACAAGCCTCCCCCTCCTCAAACCTGTGCTAGGCTGAAGCCACAGAGGACAAAAGGTGCTCTTGCATCTACAAGCAGCGTTCATGGCTCAAGAAGGGCACAGGGCAGGTGTTGGCCTTGCAGAGCAGTGCACACTCTCCCTGCCATGAGTCTGTCAGCTCTAGGACAAGTAAGAACACAGGTGTGGGCTCCCTGACCCAACACCACAACACAGTTCTTTTTCAGGCTCAGGCTTCGTCATCACCCCACAACCATGTAACAGCTCAGAGAGGTGGAAAAGGAAATTACCCATCCAGGAAACAGAACAACACTACTGAAATTTGCTAACGGCAAACACCTAGACACTTTGGAAACAAGTCAAAGACTTCTCACCATATTTGGTGGAGCTCTACATTGATACACCCACTGGGAACATGGTAGGTGCTGCACTGGGACCACAGGGTAGGATGGAGAGCCCATTCTCTGTGCTCTCTTACAGACACAACATGCTGAGGGTGGTCCTCCACTGATGGGAGGGGATTTTCTGGAAAGCCACTAACTTTTTTTTTTTTTGTGAAGGATATGCCTGCTCCTTACTCAAGCATTAAATTGGTTTAACCCTAAGTAGCACAACATCTATGACAGGATTAAAGCAGATTCTGCCTTCTTCCTGCCTAGAGCCAGCAGCTGCCAAAAACTCCTTCAGGTCAGCATCCAACACAGGACAGTGGCTAGCTTCAAGAGAAACAGAAAGCAAGCTCCCTCCTAACTCCTGTCTGTCAGAGGCAAGCTTTGGCCCTGAAGCAGAAAGGTTAGTTTGCTTTAAATCTTATTTAACCATGGATGTTTTCATTTTCCACATGCATGTCACACTCTTTCATCTGCCCTTAGGAGGACAGGGAGGAAAGCTCATGCTTTCCTCCGTCCATCTGTGGAGCAGATAGTTTTGATTAGTCACGTGCTTGTTGCCTTTCAATATCTGCTGGCTGTCACTTTGACCTTGTACAAAAAGACAAAGGCATCAGGAACTCTGTTGTGGGTTTGCCCCACCTCTTCATGCAATCTTAAACTTCCAGCACTACACTGAGCACTTAAGGGGCAGGGATCCTGCTGAGAAATTCAGCCTTCTGACCCATGAACATTTCTGCACTAGAATCTAAAGATGCCTTTGGGTCCAGCATCACCAGTCCCATGACTCTTTACTACCTTCCTACCCTCTGCTGTTGTTGATCGACCTGGTACCTTTTCCTCTGCTTCTTACACTGCTGGGGAGCAGATCCATAAGGGTCAGAGCCTCAGGCCTGAATTAGCTCCACAGCATCAAATGCATTACACCTCAGTAATGTGTTTGTTATGCAGCTCCTTTGGCACCCTGCCACTTTGCACTTGAACTGAAGCTCAGCCCTGCCCAGGAGGAGAAACCAGAGCGGATGAGGCACAGCAGAGCCAGCTCCTGAACATTCCCAGAGCATCTTCCAAGGACATTTCCAAAAGGCTACTGATAACACCAAAAAGTGTGAGGTTATCTGGCCCAAGCCATCTCTACTGAAAAACAACCTGATGCAAAAGAGTGTCCAAGGCAGGCACTGGCCTGTTCAGGGACCACTTCAGGACAGTTGCCCCCTGAGGGTGGTGAAAATGATCTTTTTTGCCTCCTGCCCCTGGAGCTGCTGCACTGTTCCAGTCATCTATTGCAGCTTATCCAAGCTCAGTCAACTCCCACTCCCCCAGGCTCTCTGGAAAGGTTAGTGGTGCCTGAAGTTAATTTTTAAAAAGTCCATTATGCTATAATGAATCCCAAAAAGAGAACAGCAGCTCTCTCTGTACACCAGCTCAATTCTGCATTCCTGGTTCATGCATTAAAACTTCCTCTCCTCTCACAAACTGATGACTAACCTATGTCTCAAAGCCTGAGAGAACACATCTAATCTGGTAGTGTTACTGCTGTTATTTGTTCATATTAAGCACACTATTCTTACTAAGCTATTTGTGCTGAGTCTCCTGAGAGAGTGCTGCAGGTTAATCATACATATGTAAATCCAACTTCCTTTCATGCACTTTAAATGCGTTGCCTTTTGGAAAACAAAGGGGCAAGGGGGAGTGATGCAAGAGGGACTTGTGGAAAACCAGGGGATGCTTCCTAGATGCTCACTTCTCACACACTCCTATTTGAGGATTAGAAGCACAGTAAGAGAGAATCTGCCAGCTTGTTTGCTAGACTAAGAGGTCTGCTGAACACACACAAAAAAAAACAAACACCAAAAACCACAAACCAAACCAACAAACCCAAACAACTGTAATCCAAACTGCAGGGTTTCAAGAGAGCTGAAGTTGACCACTCTTAAATGGGACCAGCTCAAATCGACTACCGGTCCCCCTCTGGTGGCCAACCAGCCGCAGTCACCTTCTGACGGCAGAACAGGGGCTGCCACATGGCCTCCGGTCCCTGCACCGAGGGAAGCATCTCAAGCATCCCGTAGCCAGGGCAGCACGGCCCTGCTCCGAGGGCTGTCAGGTAGCAAGGCTTCAGAGCACAGAGCTGAGGCAGGGAGCAGGACACATCTAGGCACCAGGGCGGATGTCATGGAAGTCTTCTAAAACTGGGAAGATTCATTACAAGAACAGCCAGCACTGCCCAGTCCCTCCACCTTGACAGCCTTAGGGCTATCTACAACTCAGCCCTTCAATTTTAATAGCAATGCTGTGTAGCACCAGGATGCTTCATCTTGAAACAGTGCCCCATCATGCACGGAGCTATGCAACATCTGGACACACAGAGTCCGTAGGCTCTTTGAGATGGGGAATAAGAAGAAGAAAAAGGACAGAAGACGGACAGGAAGCAAATGAGCAGAAGGAAACAAGACAGCATTGGTCAGCATAGGAAACAGCAGTCAGTGAGGTGCCCTCAATGGCTGAGCACAAAGGCAACCATTCAATATCTTACTAGAAGATACCAAGGCTACATTTTTGTCCTATAATTTTTAGTTTCAACAATGATGACAATTGCTACCAGTGTTTTGCACATTGTTGCCAATATAAAAGGGCCTAGGAGAGAGAAGGCTGAATACCCCTGCTGACTGCTCTAGTCACAGACAAGAAGAGGCTGCCAGTTTCCCTAGGTGGGGGTCTGAGTCTGTTTCAAACCAGCAATAAAGGCCTCTGCAAATCTGAGCTAGCCTCTATACAGCAAACCACTTCTTCAGACAAATCTGAAACCCTCAGAGCTGGTTTCAACCTCCTCCAAGAGGACTGCAGAGAACTGTATTTCTTCACCCACTGTTGTAAAAGCAGCACTATCTCATCTCAAAGCAATCTCACGCTTCAGCTGCTGTAGCACAAGAAAGCCCAAAATGGCTATTCCTTCTGAAGGAGATTTCTAAAATTACTCAGTAAACTGCACGAGTTTACAGGCCTTCAGTATCATGTTTGCATAAATCCCTAAATTAAGAGACATGTATGGGACAACACACAGCTTGTAAGAGAATTGCCTCAAGAGGGAGAGAAGAATTTGGTTTTGGCCACTGCAGAGTCACTACCCCCAAAACCACCTAAACTCACTCTGGCCTTTATGTACCTCAGAGAAAACTCTGAAGCAGCCATCGGACAATTCCAGTTTCTCCATCCCTCACACGGCACAAGAGCTCCGCTTCCTTTGTCTGTATTCATTGCAGCTTTATACCAAGACAGAGAGGCTTGGCTCTTGGCCTCATTCCCCACTTCCAACTCTGTGTACAACTGCCCACGCCTCAACATACTTTGTGGCATGCCATCCGTGCAGAAGGGTAGCTGGAAAAGACTGATCAGGAATTCTGGGTGAACTTCAGCTACAGCTGCTTTTTTTTACTGCAAAAGAAGATAACAAATTATGTCTAAAAATGAACACATTCATGCAGTAACACCTCTCCTCCTACAATCAAGTTTCATGCTCTGGAAAGCAGAGATTAGAGTTTCTCACGCATTCAGTGAAAAAAACCAAGAGTTTAAGAGGAAGATTCTAAAATCTCAGATTCTGCACAGTACAGCTGATGCCAACACAGGCTGAGGTTCTGGTCAGCTTTGCTGTTTCCAATAAGATCTTTTACAGATCCTGTAATCATACATTCAGACTCTTTCTGTGATCACGTGCCAGGTCAGTCAGACACAAGACAGTAGCAGAACAGCCAAAACCATAGAAAATGTAGTAATTCACTATGGGAACCAGGAGTTACAGCCTGGTTCAACTGAACAACTCAGCCATCACACTGTGAAAGCAAGAAGAGATCTTATCTAAACCAAGCATCATTTTCCCATGTAGGTATATGAAGAAATTAATTCTCTGTAGTTCCATGGTTGAGGTAAAGCAGACTAAGCAGAGGAACTGAATGCACAAAAATCCAGTTTCCCAAGCAGCGTATCCTGATACAACTCAGGTCAAGTGGCTGTGTATGGAACCAAGGATCCCAAGGTATCAGGCAACTCTTTGCTATTGCTGGAGACACAAGCTGGGGCATGTAGGATTCCAGCATGAAGTACATGGGCATGATTTCTCTCACAAGCCCAAGTCCATGCCAGGTGCCAGGAAAAATGGAGGCTGTGGAGTCAGCAACAAGTCACTGTCACTACTCCCTCTCCAAGACATCACAAGAAACTGGTGATCAGGATGGGCAGTGTGGGCAGCCACATGATATCATGCATCCTGCAAAGAGAGGCAGAAACTTTAGAACTTACTTCATGCTAAAGTAATCCAGCATGCTGAGCTCTCTCCTTCACACCCAAACAGATAAAGTTTCTGAAAGCTCTAGCCTCAGCTTGGCCCCCCTCCCATGAGTTGTACTGGTCATGGCATGTAAAGACATGTCCACATGGCTTGCTCGCGTATCATTTTGTTCATGCCAGGTCTGCCAGCAAAGTCATCCACCTTTCAGTGCCCTGACCCCAATTCCAGCAGCTCTAGATTCACAACCTCTGATTTCCAGGGAACATTGGAACTTCAGTTTCTGTATTCTTCATAAGGCTCCCTAATCTCTGAGTCTAGCATAAGACAACTTTGTTGCCACAGGAGCTTCTAAATAATACCACGACCCAACCGTGACCCAACACACTGCTAGAAGCAATCCCCAAGACAAACATGCTCTACTCACTCTCTTCTTTAGCTAGTGCTCATGGCCTGAAAGCCAGAGCCAACACTAGATGCTGGTTTCATATGTGAGAACATCTGCCTAGATATACGGTGGAGAACACACAGCCAGCCAATGTTCAGCTGGCTGAGGGCAGGCTAAATCTTTCTAGCTCAGGAAACAGTGTTTCGTCATTTTACACGCAGAAATGCTAAAGGCCATAGAATCATGTTGCAGAATCTTCTCAAGTTTTAAAGTTAAGATTTTAATCCTTAAGGTGCAAAGGACTCAAATGCCCCCTCTTCTTCTAGGCTTCATCTAATCCTCCTGACAGTACAGTGAAGCACAAGCAGTACAAGTAAGTACCTGCAGCTCAAAGAGTCAGGTAATGCACAGTAAGGTGAACAAGTAATTGCACTAACTGCATTATTCATTTACATAAAAGAGTTTTTAAAATACTTTCTGGCATTACTAGCTGCTTCAGACCATTTTCCAGCCTACTTCAGGCACCAGTGAGGCTTCACTGCAAGACCCAGCCCAGACTCCTGTCTCTTCCCAAAAATTCTCTCCTGCCTTTTCCCAAAGGGTCCTGGCTTCAGTCATGCATCCTGATAGGCTGCAGGTGGAAAACCATCCTCTCCCCGATGCAGCAGACCTCTGTCAGACACCTGAAGACCTGGAGAGGCCCCTTGCCCACAGACAGCACCAGTTTGATTCCCTCTGTAAATCCCAGAAAGAATGCTGATCTGAGAAGGCAGCATTTTTAAAATATTTTATTTATTATACAAACTATTTACAAAATCAATTACTACAACCACAGGCTTCCAAATTTTGGCTGAACTCTGTCAGAAATTCACCAGAGGGAACTAGTATTTGACCTGTATCATCTACAGCTCCTGGTGTCTAAAAACATGCAACATGGCCTGCGGGTACAGGCTGAAGCCAGGCCCTCTGCACTTCAAAGCAGCTTCAGGAAACACGGAATCTGTCTAAGATGGTATCGGGATCCCAAGGATTTCTACAGAAGAGCCTCTATTGAGTGGGAATAAATAAAGGGCAAAAAAGAAAAGTAATGAGCCTCTGCCTGAAGTAACATAGCGTAGAGGTGACCACAGCACATCCCCATTGCCAGCATTAGGGGCAGCATCAAAAATTACTGTACTGGGAAATAGTGTAAAGCCAGAGACGAGTTTAGAAATACTGTGATGGATCTCAGCAACATGGGACCAGCTAGGGACCTGTGCAAACAGCGGGGATGGGTCTAGTTGACCAAGAGCACCCATCACAGTTCTGACCGCACTTGTGTTAAGAAGAAAATCCTTGGCATCTTCACAGCTGCTGGGAAGCGCGGGGTGCTGGCTGTAATGAATGAGAAGCATTTAGGAGCTCTTTCCAGTAAAGGAAGTCTGCCCAATGGCCAGCTACTTCATCTCCAGAATAAAAAAAAGCCAGCTCAAGAGAAGATGGGAGAAGATTCCTGAGGAAGATGTCACTGTCAGAGCTGGCCCATAGCTACAGGGCTGAAAACATCCTCAGACAGCTGAGACTGCAAGACAAGGCTGAAACATGGAAACAACACCAAACCTCCCAACAAACTGGAGTTAAGCTGAGCACCGCCACTTCCTCTCAGTCCCTGGAGAAAGCAGTGAAGTGGAAAACACAGAAGCTGTAACTCTACTACCATGAAAGTCATCTGCAGTGTAAAGAAAATGGTACCATACTCTCCACCCAAAGCAGGTCAGAGCTTTGCAGAATGCAGCCTGCACTAAAAAAGGGAGAACAGCCACTATTAACGTGATCTGTCAGAGCATAAGAGTGGCAACTCTCAAGCTGGCAGCCTCGCAGCACCTCGGTGCCAGTGAGAGAATAAATTCACAAGGCAAAGAAATCCCCCTGAGTAGTCTCCATGTTCAGCTGACTGCTTTTTGGCACCAAAATGGCTTATTTTTTTTCTGTACAGAAGTAACAGCTCAGCCCAAGAATGACTAAGATGCTGTCTTAAATACATTTTCTAGATATAGAATATTTCCCCCAAGTTCCTAGTCAATTCGACTAAGCTATACTTGAAAAGCACAGACAGTTAAGTTAAAATATCCATACTGTGCACAGGTCTGACTGGATCGGCCTGAAGACAGTAGAAGGGGACTGAAGAGGATGATGTGACTTTTATCCAATAGGGTGTTCTAAAATTAGCTCAGGCATGCCAGTCTGAAACTCCATTCTGGAAGAAATCCAGCAATTCCATAATCCAGTGAAAGCTTACATTGCAGGTATTAGCAATGCAGATTTCTCCCACTTTGACTCCTGTATGCCTTTGACTTGAACTAAGGGACTGCTGAAAACAAAGAACTTGAATTTTGCTTCACTGAAGAACTCATCAAGATTCCCAGATTCCCCTTCCTTTTATTTCCCTGGGAAGGGCTGAATGGACTGTCAACTACAACAGACCCCGATCATAAACTTCTCGTGCTGGTCTGCCCACTCCTCCTCCCACAAGCCAGACAATGGTGGGTGCAGGCTGTTGAGTGGTCACTTGAGTGAAGTTCTAGATAGCATTTTGTGCTGGAAAGCCAACAGCACTGAATGGAACAGGAGGAAAGAAGCGATGAAGAAAGAAAGTAGGAAGAATGGAAAGACAGAAATCTAGCTGCTCTCCAGGCACCAGCAACTCTCTGGACACTCCGTCTGAAATGCAGTAGAAAAAGAGAAGAGTCAGGCTGCTGCATGATAGAGGTAGAAGCCAAGACACTGTGGGATTCTGGGGCAGAGGTACCATGTTCTGCCCAGTACCATCACCCCAACAACAAATGCAAGCCCAGTGCACACTGTAGCTGCTTATTGATCTGTCACTGTTACTACATAACATACATACCCTGAAGGTGAATGTGGGATAGGCATTGGTGCTCAGCATTGAGGGATCACACTCATGCCCATACTCTCTCTCCTGAAGAAGGGAAAAGAAGGCAAGGGCATGGAACAGCCTGCTGTGCAACATCAACTGTCAGAAACATTCAATGGAGGAGAAACTCCTCTTCCAGTTCATTTGCAGAGGCTCATTACCAGCTACTGCTGGAGAAGGATGCTTCTGCTGCTGGACCCTGGTGGAGGTAGTACAGGATCACTGTCAGGGCCAGCACTTGTGCTCCAATGAGATTGTTCTCCCCTTTGTGTTACTGCCTCCAGTGCACACTGCCCATTTTTCTCTGTGGCACACGTGACAGCAGCATCCAGAGCAAGATGGAGAAGGAGAACCAGAAACCCTTCTGGGTCAGGTGCTGAAAGGATGGACAACTGTACACTCCTCACCAGTCACAGTGGGATGAGCTATCAGGGAGCATCACTGGGGGAGTTGAGCCAAGACATGGGAAGTTACTAAGGCTTCCCGTGAGCCAGATTTCCAGCAGAGCTCCATGCTGGTCTTCCCTCTTCCTCCTAGAGAGCTACAATAAAGGCAGCTCAGCAGATCTCCTGCACCTCCCTGTCACTTCTGCTTATGAACTTCATCTTCTCACAGAAGGACGGGTGTACAGGATACACGGAAATCAAGTGCAATATCTCCTTGATGAATGCACCACAGTCCTTTTGCTGTTTCACATTGAACCAAATGGAGAATGAGGAAAAGGGAAAAGATGAGCTCTTGATGACATATTTGGGATACAGAAAGGCCACATGACATCATCTGAATGACAAATTCCTTTACATGGAGTCTTTGCTCTTCCTCCATTGCCCATATGAAGGGAAGGAGAACAAGCAGAGGACTGAACCGGGGTCTTGCCACGAAGAGCCAAGAGGCCAAGTGGTCTCCTGGAAAGGGGAAATCACAGCATGCCAAAACCCTCACAACCCTCACTGATAGCTAGCTGCAGCATCTTGTGCACTTCTTCATAGGAGTCATAAGTAGGGAGGCACAGCTGGTTAAAACTGTAAAACAGAAGAAAAATTCCATTCAGATTAGATTTGAGAGGGAACCATCCCCATCAGCTGCTTTTAGATGGGTTGGCATAAGCATCATATACATTACATGACATGCACTGCTTGCCCACCACAACTGGATGGTGTCACTCCCAAACGCACAATGCGGAAAGTCCCACCACCCCAGGATACTTGCCAAGTGTGGGCTGTCGGCAAAGTACTGTGAGTTGGAGCTGCAATGATCTGGAAAGATGGACAGAGTGCAGCAAACCCTCCTGGGGGCAGCTGGGAGGAACCAGTTGTGAACTGCAAAAGCCTGGCCAGCTCTTCCTGTGTGAAACTGGAGACCACAGTCCAAAACCACCTCATGACCTGTTAAGAAACAGGCAACATAAAGACAGGTCAGCCAAGGAAATCAAGTAGGCACATTAGCAACTTCCAAGAAGATCAGTCAATTGCCCTTGCAAGCAAGCGCTCTACTAATAGTTAGAACTGTTTTGTTTTACCAGGGTGACACATAGAGGCAAGTATTACATAGTTTCTAATCAGTTCAGAGATGTCCCATGCTCCTATCTCCCACCAATCCTTTCCCTTAAAACAGAAAGGCTTCTTCTGCTTCTGCTCTCCCCACAGAGATTTTTAGAAATACCTGCATAGGCGATGAGGTAGGTTTACAATGCAGAAAACTCATTTGCTTCTTGCACTATGCTAATTTTTTCACATTCTCTGGTACTTCTGCAGGAAGGTGGAATATCTCAGTGTTTACAGACAGAAACTTTTATTCCCATTCTCTTTTCATCTTGGGTGTTTTGGCAGCTTCCATTGTTTTTCTAAATGAAGCTGCTACTATTCCCAGACCCGTCCTACTGGGAAATGCAGGAACGGATGGGAACCCATCAGAGGGTACAAATTTAAGCTACTACATCAGTAGTCTTCATCACAACACTGAATTCCAAATACTACATGTGGTCTGCAAACATTTTTTTCAAGCATCTCTTAGAGATAAGTATATCACCATGAACATCTTTAATAGCAATAATTCCCACCAACTCCTCCTGATTCCCCCTGCTGAACTGTTCTTAATTAGTGCTTTGTTGGATTTTTTGGAAGAGACCACTGCTGACGATTTTTACTTGCTGGTATCTGATTAAGCATCATCCCTAGTCAGCCAGGCTGAAGGATCACTCTAGGGGGAAACACTATTTCATGATGTCTGCAGTCCTATCCTACCTGACCCCTGAATTGTTCAGTTTGTCCTTCTGAAATCCTAAATTCCAACCAAGACATCTGTTCCCAGTTTATCATCTGCTGTAGTTGGGATAACTGGTTTCGACAAGTAGGAGAAAGAAACCCTTTAACTTACCTTTTCACGGAAGTGCCAAGATCCTCCTACCACTACAGCATGTGCCTTGAAGTCACAGACACTGATATCTCCAGTACCACACATAAGCAACTGAAAGGTAAGAGACTGCAGTCAGAAAGTCAGGAGCTCAGGAAACAAGGCAACAGCTACTGTGCAAGTTATGAACATTTTAAATGGGGAACTAAAGGTAGAGATGCTTAGGAAGGCACCAGTTACCTCAAGCTCATTCTCATCAAAAATAGCCAGCAAGTTCTCAGGAACTAATTCATTAAGACCTGGAAGAGAAGAGAAGAGCCACATGTGCTATGCCCTGGGACATAAAGGCAGAGAGGAGCAGGGAGCAGGCAGCATGTTACCTTTCAGGAAGTGATCCACCTCCTCTCTAACCTGATTGGCCAGCCTGTACTGCGCAAGCAGATTTAGATACAAGATTTTGTTTTCATTCGTCACTGGTACTTGAGCCCCTCCTGCCACCAGTTCTACCACCTGAAAACATGAGAACACTTGACCTGAGTGTGATCAGTAGCATTCCCCAAACCTGAATGCCCAACCGGAAAAAAAAACAAGGAAGGAGCTACTGCCCTGAATAAGCTCAATTTTCTGGGGCACGTAGCAGAGTTCTTGGTCCCTGTTGCTGCAGGCATTAGGGGTTAAACTGTCTCACCTTCAGGAACTGCCTTCCTCACCTTCTCCAGCTGTCCTGTTTTGCTATACTTCTCTTCAGCGAAGACCAGATCCATCTCACTCACATCATTGTTCAGTATAAAACACACTTTGGATTTATAGAATTCTGGGTCATCCGTTTCAAAGTACTGTGTGAAAGAATAAGAAAGCAGAGACATGGAAGGGAAAGAAAAAAAAAAACAAACCATACATTGCTAACCAGGACTCTGGGTCTGCTACTACACCAGCATTCATTCTCTCCCCTGACCAACACAGGCTTCAGACAAGGTTGGGAAGCTTTACCTTGTAATGCATACGAAGTCCTATGATCTGAGCCAGGAAGGATCGGGTGAAGCGAGCTCGAACCAGTTGTTTGTAAGCACCTCCCAGAGATGATTCATAAAGACACTTTCCTACCAGGCGGCCTGCAAATTCATATACTTTGAGTCGTAAATATGTGGGACGCCCTGGATTTGGATGCACCTGCAAAGAGGAAACAAAATTAAATATCTAAGTATTGGTATCCAGTCCAGCTAGCACAAATAGCAAATATGGACCAGTTCAAGTCACGGCATCTCTCAGGCTGTCCAAGGAGCTTTAGTGTAATGACCTCAAAGCCAAGCAATAGAAATAAAATGCCTGAGCCTGCCTAGGACGAATACAAAATGTTTCACATGCACAGGCAAAAAGCTGTATGAGAGCAGATATGGATTCTGAAACATTCAGAACCAACAGAACCTCTACACACTCTGATGCCACCTCCTCTTGCCCAAAAATCCAGCCTTCCCTGCTGACTGTCCACCCTCTACTGTTCATCCAGCCAGTTCTTTGACATTTCAATGGGTTAAGCAAAGCTTTGAGAAAGGCACTGGAAGTGACTATGCAGGCAAGCTAAAGAATGGGTAAGGTTCCACACCATTTAATAGCAGCATTGTTTAACCATCAATGTTCACATTTCTGTGCATTTGGCATAGGAACTGCAGACTCACCAAGGCCTGGTTGTTATCACTAAAGCGGGTAAACAGTTGATTGGTGGTATCAAATAATGCCTTACAAATGAGCTCAAACCACTCTCTGCGTGGACCTCCCCAGTCCAGAGCTACAAGATAAAACAAGCTTGGTCATCCATGGGTCATCAACTTGAGAGTTTCTTGCATGCTGCTCAGTATTACCTGACATGGGAGTTCATTACAGTGAACAGCTACATAGCAAAAAGGCAGTAGACAGGGACTGCAGAACTCTAGGTTCTGCTCCAAACCTAGTCGGGTTTTTTTTGTTTGTTTGTATTTTTTTTAGGGGGAAAGGGGTGGAGTTTACATAAGGCCCCAGGTTCCTATGTCAGTAGGTATAGAATAGCACCAGCAGAATAATTCACTAACATCTGTGAGAAAAAGAGCTGGAAATCCAAAAGGATGGACTTACTAAAAGAAACCAGCATTTCAGATTAAAACTACTCCACCATCATTCCTTTTGCTTCCTCCTCATATATATTCCTAGGATAACTCACCTTCTTCATCCTGAAAAATCACTTCAAAGTTTTTGCTCCAGTCAGAAACAGAAAAATTTCGTGTTGCTTTAAAAGACTGAAAAAAAGAAAAAGAAAATAGCAGCAGCCATTACTGCTTGGCACCCCATAACCAATATGCAGTCTTGCACATATGACTGGGCAATTTAAGCAACACAAAAAACCAATAAGGAGTCTAGTGCTATAAAGTATAAACATAAGAATTAGAATGCCTAAGGTCTAATTCTTATATGTCCAAAGCCACAGAAGCCAGTTCCTCATTTTCTGTTATGAGATGCATTATCCATATAAAATACAGTTCATCTTAAAACAGTGTGAGGTCTTAGCACAGAAGTATCCCTCTCAAGGCTGCAGTACAGCATTGTTTAAAGTATTAAAATGCCTGTGGGAAGGAGCAATTTCTATAAAGCACTCTCAGCCCACGAGTTAGATTTAAAATAGGAATGTTTCAAAGAGCACCAGAAAATAGCTTGAAAAGAATCACTGAGTTCATACTTTGAGCAAGTCACGATCCAAAAAAAATAATAAAATATCTCAAGTGTCTAGAACTTCCTGTGCCCCAATTCCGGATTCCAGTTAAAGAAAATTAAAAAACTACACGGCAGTCCTCAGTCATACAGGTACTTTTGGCTTAGCTTATCTTTAGATAGGGTAGAGCATCATGCTAGTCACACCTCTGGGCTAAACATATTGGTCACATTCATTGTGCCTATCAACCTTGGTCACTAAAGCTTATATTATTATTATTATGGCACTGGATTTATTTTGTCTTACTAGGCTCTAACACCAATGCTCAAGACAAGGCAGGAATTTCCAAAATAGTAGGAAAAAACAGACATGAAAATACTGTTTAGAAATGAAGTCATTTTGTAGCAAGCTATTAACTGAAACATAATCTCATAAACACTGCAAGCTGGTACATATAGAAAATATTCCAAAACACAGATTTACTGAGTGTAACTCAAGGGAAATCCCAGCCACTCCTGCTTGCCCCAGAAATGTTCTCTTCCATCTTTATAATGTTACTGTTATGAGACACATGTGGAAACAATAAGTCAGGATGACTGCCTCCCATGCATACACAGTACTGAGAATGTCGTTTAGGAACCATATATATGAATGACTAAGTTCCATTTTGGAAACACAACAGCTCAGGTTAGAATTGGTGAAGACTTAACTTAAGGACTCTATAGAACATTCTATTGTCACTCTGAACCACTACTAGTAGCCTGTTGGTGCAAGAGTTTTAAGCATGCAGCTCAGTAACATCTGACTTGACAGCTTATCTCACTGAATGCAGATAATGACTCAGGACTTTGTGTTATGCTCCCAAATCTGGTCCAGGTAGACAGTCTCCCTCAGGCCTTAGGCTCCAATGTAAAGTGGAGACAGAATAGTAGAATCAGCAGATTTTCTGCTTTTACAGGCTATGCATTCATTTCTAGAATCACAGAATCAATGAGGTTGGAAAAGACCTCTACAGTCATTGAGTCCAACCTTTGACTGATAACCACCTTATCAATTAGACCATGGCACTAAGTGCCACGTCCAGTTGAACACTGCCAAGGATGGCAACTCAATAACCTCCCTGAGCAGTCCATTCCAATGTTTAGCAACTCTTTTTATGAAGAAATTCCTCCTTATGTCCAATCTGTCCCCTGGCCGAGCTTGTGGCTATAATTTACCCTAGACATCTCTCAAGGCTTGATTTACTCTGTGACAAATTCCTTAAAAATTTATCAGAGTTGAAGTTGCCTAACTATCCAAGAAATCGATTAGATCTTGCTACCTGTAGAGAAGGAATACAGCATTCCACCTGATAACAAACCAGAACACAGAGGAGCTACTTGGGATTTTTTTTTTTTTTTCATCTCTGGAAAGCTGTCTGCTGGCATCTGCCTTGAAACAGAAGGACTAATAATTTTTAGTATGGTGGCCCTAGCACATTCCAGTTTGAATTTCCTTAGGCACCGAGCAGAAGGAAAAGGATGGAGGAAGCACTGAGCTTAAGCAAAGTGACTCACCGACTCCAGCAGACAGTGACGGCTGACCTTCAGCGTGACCTTTGAATGAGGTCTTTTCATGTGCACCTGACGTAGCTCTCGCTGAAAAAAGTTCACTTTGTCTTGGAAGGTTTCAGAGCCTCCTGAGAATAATGACAATTTGAGTCATGCCTGAGCTGTCAGCACCTCAAACATCTAGACAGCATTCCTAAGATTAACTGCACAGGTCAGCTTAACAGCCCGAAGGTGCATTTATTACAGCAAAGTTTGGAGACAGAACTCTCAAGGCAGTTTGCAGTTAGTCTTGCTGATATTCATACTCACAGGTGCACTTTCAAAGAGCCTGACAGAGAAGCTAAGCTGAAAAGGAACAGCTGCCAAAGTACATTCACTGGAAGCACCAACAGGAACATAGCACGAGACTCCAGGAATCAGAGTTCTCATTGGAAGTTATTCAGTGCTGGAAATGTTTATTCCCCAGGGAAACAAACAGACTCAAGTGCTAACTTCCTGACTACTGTACCCACCTCACTGCCCCTTTACCTATGTTTTTATGCAGAGAACGAATGAAAGTGGCTGCCAAGATGTTCCTCTCCTTGCAGCTGAGCTCCACAGGGGGTTGGATCCCATCATCCACCACCAGTGTCAGTAATTTGTGCACAGGATCAGGACCAAGGTATGAAAACTAGCAGCAAAAAGATGCAAGAAAGGGTAAACCCATCATGCAGAAGGCACAGTATGTTCAGTAGACAGAGCAAAACCAGCTGTGCTCTAAGACTTTTTCTGCTCACCCATGCATATGCAGTTAACAGGAACACTATTTTCAAGCATGAAGACTCCAGTTAGGAGGCTGCTTCAAACTCCACACACTAGCATAAGGGCTTCAGTGGACACAATCACAGCACTTTAGCAAGGTTATGAGGAAAATAAAATGAAAAATGCAAAGGAATCAAGATTTTGCCTAGCATTGGGACAAAAGGCAAGAAGGAGCTATAAGACTGCCTTCTATTCACAAATATTAGCAAAACCTAGGCACTGGGAGGGAATTAGATTGTTGAATTGTACACCACAAAATATTGTTCTGTGGGTGGAAGCCCTTCTCTCCAAAAGGAAAAAAAAAGACTGTCATTCATAAGGACGACAAGCTAACAACATGGAGGTGCAGTGACAGGTACATGGAAAGAGGCTCACCTTTGTGCCAGGACACACTCTAAAGGTGAAAAGGCGCCATGGAATGATCTTCAGGTAAAATTCTTTCACTGAGAATTGCTGAGTAACCACAAGGAAAAGAAAATGTTAAATGTCACACATCTGTTAAGGGTTGTCTCTGAAACATATGAGGCACAGGACAGATCCATAAGGCTAGACCTCCCTTCAACCCCAGGGACGGGGATCTGCAACATTTGGCACAATACATAAGAGTCTTTAAAGCTCCACAGAACTGTAAGCAACTTGTCAGTAAGACTTCAGTGCGTGCATTTATGACGCATGTGGGATGCAGCATGACACAGATTTTACAGCAGTAAGCCATTGTGTTCAGTAGAACATCACCAGTCTAATTGGATAGTAATCTTAAGTACGCCTGAGAAGCCGAATTCAGGACATGACTGTAATGCACTGATAAAAAGGTTTTGGTTAAAGTCATGCTAACAGACTACTAATATTAATCCCTAATTTTCTCAATAATTTCAAACATCTTTTAAAAGGCACTTGCTAAATACACAAGATTTGCATACGTTTCTTCTCACAATGTATTTCTGACAGAACAAAATAACTAACTGTGGAACTGCTGCCTTCTGGAGAGCAAGTTAAGGTGAAATTTTAGCATCTTTATACAAAACGGAACCATTTCCTGCACAAGCCTGTTCTAGTTGCAATGACTGGAAAAACTGACAAGCAGCATTTCTCCAGAAACAAACCAAATGTGAACAACAACCTCTTAAAAGAAATAACAGCATAGTAACAGTTTTCCACTGTTGCTATTTATAGAGAGAGAGAGATCCAGGGAGACATGACGAAAGCATCAGAATCACATTAACAACTTTGGCACCTCAAGGGAGCTTGCAACAGTACCCACTTCTGGTGATCTGCTTTACCAAGCAATGCAATAGAAAAGAGTATGAAAGTCCAAAATGATACACCAAGGATGAAAGGATGCTGAACTCATGAGGACACAGCATTCATTCCCAAAGACAGTTCTTACAGCCACATGCATCAGAAATTCAGAAATCTCTAGCAGCACACGGCATCCTATAAATGTTTCACAGCCCTCTTTCTCCCTTTGGCAGGAAAGCAATTCCTGTATTAGTCTTTCACTTTTATATTTATCATTGCATTTTTCAGAATGCATTTGAAGAGATAGATTAACAAAGTGAATTTTAATTCGTCAGTAGATTTAGAGGAATTTTCCTTCTAGTTTCCAAATGCTCTTAGGCAATAATAAGGGGTAAAAGTTACTGTTAACATAGTGTTACTATAAGAGAATCTTTAGTTTCTCTTGACTTGCTTGAATCCTGTTTCTTCTACTTATAAATTTACCTTTTGTCCTCAAACCATATTTTTTCCTTTTCTTTTCAGTGAAACATTCCAGAAACAGGACAAAGACATAAAATCTGAGAAGCTGAGATTCTGTTAAATTCGAGTTTACAGGTATCAGAAACTGAGAATAGGAATTGGAGGTCTGACCTGACCAGAACAAAGGAATGGCAAACAGAGTATCTATTGAACAATCAATGAGGAAATTCCCAGTAGATTTTGGATCAGACCTAGAAAGACACAGTCCTGAAATTTCAAGACACATTTTCACATTATTCTCAGTCATGTGCTCCATGTTTGCCTTAGGCAAGCCTTTTTTTAACCAAATCTGAGGCACCTAAATCTGGAGTTAAAATACAGAGCATGAGAAAGTCTTCAGTTGCAGCATATTTTAAACGTGCACTCAAGAGCAGTAACTTTATGATATCTACCTTAGGTGACACATAGCAGTACACTTTTTTAGGCTTCTTCACTTTCTCAGGAGTCTGGCTGTCAGAAGGAGAATCTTCATCTTCATCGTCGATTGCAGTAGAAGGACGGCGCTGGGAGGAGCTCAAGTGCATTGGTGGAAGTTGCCACTGACTGTTGGTATAGCTAGGAGCATCATAAAGGTAGGCTTCAAAATAAATACTGACACCTGAGGTGGACACATTGCGTTCTACAATGTTCTTCTCATTCTCTGAGGGAAATAGATATGAAAGAGTCGTGTAAACACTAATGGAGAACAGAATGAAAAAGAATATACTGGCTAGCACCAAATCAGTGACTATGACTTTAAAGAAAAGGCTATACATCCAAAGGAAAACCTAGTCAAGGGAAACTTTAATAAAGAGAACCCAGTATTGGGATGAGAAGATTTCACAATGGCAGTTTGTCTGTCATGGTTTCAGATAGTGACTGGTTAAAGGAAAAAGGTATACAGAACCTCTCTCTCAGAGCACCAGCCTGAAGGCATAGCCACTTGACAGCCACATTGAAATCTGGCTCACTCCTGAAGAAACCAGGAATAATAACATCATAAAACAAAATCCCACATAGGTTACGTGCAGTGTTTTTCATCCATATAACTTAACATACAATACATGACTGGCTCAGATGCCAACTACTAGCAAGCAATAAAAATTGCCTAATTTCCAAGGTAAATCTTCTGAAATAGGAGAAAAACACTTGCTTTTATCTGCTGATGGCTCAGAGAGTATCAACCCTCAGAGATCTCCCTTGTTAAGCAGCAAATTCATTTACCTTAGTATTTTTAAATGAATATGCTTCCCTTTAGCAATTAAGCACGGTTGGCCTGCGGGGAAGCCCCTGCTAGCTCTTCTACATGAGTGTGCAAAGCACGTTGTAAGAGGACACCTGGAGAATGAGTAAGTCTTGACTCACCACTTAGAACAATGATGTCAAAATCCCCATTGCTTATGGGCTGGTTCTGGTAGGAGATGCAGGCATGGAAACACCCCCTACAGTGCAAGGTGAGTCGGAAGAGCACCTCACAAGTCTGCCGATTGGACACCACAGACTTCTCAAACACCACATCAGAGCTCTCTTCTTCTTGAGGACCCAGCTAAACAGAAAACAAATAAATTGAGCTCTCTAGCTCACCTGCAGTCAAACAGCAAGGGATGAGGCTGCACTCACCTCATGGATGGAGAGGCTGTAATTGTGCTCATCTATCAGTGACACAGAGTTGCTGGTGGGATTGTCATACTCATCTCTGGGAGCTATCTGCAGAGTGTGCTGCTGCCCACAGGTCAGCACCAGAGTGGAGAAATGGCAGACAATTTTGGTTTTGGAGGGAACCACCATTCCTGAAGCAGACAACAACAATTTAGAGTAAAACAAATTCCAAGGCGAAGCTACAAAAAACAAAAGAAAAGCAACTAGGGGCACAATACCCTTGAAAATGGATCAAAGCTAAACATATTCGATGCTCCGGTATTCAAAACAGAGTATCTGAGCACTAAAATACATGGTGTAGTGCATAGTGTTTGTCTTGGATCAGAAACTTAATTCCAATAAAACAAACCCAGTTACTAGTCTTCTAAAGAATGCTTTTTCCACCATTCTAACCTTCAGCTCCGGAACTTGCTCCCACCATGTATACAAAATACAATTTAGCTGGCACCTAAGAAAACCTGCAAATGCAGCTTACCAAACAAACTTTACCCTGGAGTGTATTTGAATTAAACTGGAGCTTCCTCAGCAAGGATATCTTAGCAAGCTGTGTATCTATTCATAGTGCAATGGAACAGAGGTCCTTTCAGTGAACATGAACATGAAACATAAAAGATGCCAACCAGAGTCAAAAAAACAAAAGTAGTAAGGAACAAATTTAAAACAGACAAAAAGGAAATGTTTTTAAAGAAGTATATAATCAAAGGTATCAACTGCTCCAGGAGCTTAGAGGAATAGAGTGAGGTATTCAAAGGAGACAGAGTTAAATCACAACAGCATTTCCAATTCAGATACAAATAACTCAGTACTTTCACAAAAGGCATTCCCTGACTGCCAGATGGATTATCAAGAAGTTACTACAAAAGGGAGAACATGACACAAGTGGTTAGGGATTGTAAGCAGCATTAATGACTTATTCTGTAAGGCAGTTTGTTTTGCCACGTACTGGCAGTCCCAAGCATGTTTTACTCATGGGGCTATTGCTGGGATCTACACATGGCAGGAGGTAAATAGTGAAAGGTAACTTTTTCCCTGTCACCTACCTATCTTAGCTGGAAACACATTTACCCAAGTGCCTCCAATACCTCCAAATCTACTTTGAATCATTAGAGGACCACTTAGACCTTACCTGGCTGGAACACCTTGTAGTAGGGGCTGTAGGCCACGTTCAAGCCACCGAGTTTTACGGTAATCTCGTATTTCCCAGCTCTGCGCACAGTGAAGGCCACTTTCACCACATTGGAATTGGGCTCCTGAAGAACTTCCTGGGTTACAGGAATATCAATTGCTAACTCCACATGGCAGATGTGAACACGCAGCCCCACAGGCCGGTGAGCAGGGAAGGGTTGCCCATTTTTATAGAATAACTGCATGGGAAACAGAGAAGTACAGGTCAGCAAAAATATGGAGTGCACAGAGGAAGAGAAAGCAAGTTGCCTTAGGGAAGGGCAAGAACCTCAGCTCAGCAAAGGAAAAATAATTAACAGACAACTTTGTCACACTGGCCGTGTCTCCAAAATGAACAGGGCACTCTCTTTTGTGCTGGGGTTCAAATGTGTGCCCTGCAAAGAACATGACTCCAGGCATTTCCTGTCTGCACTGCTAGTGCAATATCAGAGCAGAAATCAAGAGAAACCACTATCCAAAGGAAAAAAGTAAAGCCAGCATATCTTGTTCATTTGTACAGCTAACCTCTGGAAAAGCTCTCACCAATTTGTTATAGAAAATAGTGTAAAGGAGATGCTGACCTAAGGAGCTGACCCAGTCTTTACTGCTAAGAAATGTCAGCGTGAAAACAACATGCTAGATAAGATCACAGGCTGTTCAATCACAGAAGTGATCTGCCAGACAACTTCAGAAGGTAACATACCTAGACCAATACTTCCTTACAAGGAAAGAATTACGCCTTTGAAACCCTATGCATGGCTTTTCAACAGCCAGCAGCTTGTAGGCCAGAGCCTCCCTGCCATCTGCAATCAGCCTGCAGACAGCTGCAGGTACTATTATTCCCTGTTTGTAAGTAAGGGAGGGTGTGTGGCCTGAAGTACTCTGCATCTTGACTGTCAGTGAGAGAAATCAGCATATGCAACAGCTACTGTTGATGAATAAAGGGCTAAGCAAGTCAGAAACAAGCATGAAGTGGAAGGGCACATTGCTGGAGCTGCCATGAGTGAGTGTCAGTAAGGTGAAGGGAATAAATTCAAATAGCAGATACAGAACAAGTCCCTTTCCCCTCAGCAACTTTTCACTGCCTGCCCTGGAGTTAAAATTCTTCATTCACCATCAAGCAGAAGGGTTTTCCTCACCTTCCCAAGAGGGATGGGTATGGCAACCTAGCTGAACCTTTCTTCTTATTTTGATTTCTCTCCTGGATGGGGAAGACAGGACAGAAAGATGGGCACATAAACCCACCAAAACCTATTCAAACTTTCTCCACATAGCTCCAAACTCTTTGTTTTTAGGCTCCTCACCCATTTTATTTGTGTACTTGCCCCATTCTCCTAGACTTGGCCTTTAGGGATTGTAGGGAAGCAAGAGTTCTTGGCAGGCTTTTCCAAGTCAGACAGAAAAACAATCCATTTTGGAGGAATGGGGAGTGGCCATGAAACCTTACTGCTCTTGGGTTGGTAAAATGCCTATTCCCACGCTCTCAACTTCAGCTGCACAACCAAAAGATAGCACCAAGTCTGTTGAAGGCAAGGCTCAGCCCACTCACTTCCCAGTAAAGGAAGCAGTAGTCAGGACAAGCCTGGTCTCCTCTGGCTCTTCATAGGACTCTACAGAGAGGGAGATAAGACTTTAAGAAATGCAATCCTGAAATATGCACTTAGAGAGTTCTGCAACACACTAACGGGGCAAAACGCATAAACAGATAGCTTTCCTACTCCTAACTTACATCTGGCTTAACCCTCCAAAAAAACATTTGAAGAGCCCATCCCTAACTCAGACCTCTGTTCCTGCCCACAAAGCTGCATGGAAATGGAAATAGAAATATTGCCTTACATGCACTCGGAAGGCCATGCTATGGCCCACCTCATAGGGGTCCTTCCAATCCCAGGAGATTTTGCAGGACCGGGGATCCAAGTAGTTGCCTCGCACGTAGTCATAAATAGTTCGCTCCCCTCGGCGTTCCCGGTCCTCATGCTGAAGGAAGCTGACTATACGTGCGGCAAGCTCAAAGAGGAACTTAATGGTGAAGAAGAAAGCTACAACAAATACCGTGATCCCACCTGCAGCAAGGAGAGAACAAAGGTGGCTGCAGCAGCATGGCTGAGTCAGGCACTAAAATCCCCTCTGCATCAGCCCAAGATGCCTTTTGTTAATGACATTCTACTCAACTGCAAATTAGGTGTTTAAGGCAGAAGCTATCACATGACTATTTATGGTTTGTGTTATGCTACAAGTAAAGTTAGAGAATATCAAGTCCCTTAAAAGTCTGCAAATGACTGCAAATAAAGGAAATAGGTAAAGGTGGTACAGAGTCTCAAGTAAGGTTAGCAGCCATCCCAATAGAAGCATGGAATTCCCTTTGAGTTGCAAATTAGAACTACAGAGATTCCTTTAAGGGAAACAGTCATAAAATCATACAAGTCCTGCACATCACATTAAGGCTGGATTAAGAGGCATCACAGAGGCAACAACCCTCCACCAGTTCTTGAAAGAAAAAGGGAATGGCTCAGGAATTAGGTCAATGAAAGAACTTTAGGAACAAGAATGGTGGAGAGGCAAGTCTGCCAGGTGGAAAGCACAGTGTGGGGTGACAGTAACTTCATGTTTGTTAGGTAGACTCTGAACTAACATTAAATCAAAGGCTATGAAGAAACCCACCTAAAGCCTATTGAGAGGTCAACAAACACAGTGGCAGCCTTTCCTTCACTTACCAATAATGTAAAACATCAGGTCCCTTCGGTGAGACACACAGCCGAGGATCACAGCTGCATCTAGAACACAAAACAGGCCAAGTCCAGTCCAGTGACTCTTCCTCACATAAACTGGCCTAAATTTATTCTATGATTCCTCAGAAAAAATGCCTGTTGATCATCTGTCTTCCTCTCCAAGGACATCTCTAAAGAATTATTCCATAAGACTGTGAAATATGCAAACAGCACAGTATGCTACAGTAACAGTTCTCCCTGTGTCACAGATTCCAAATCAGATTCGGGGATCTATAAGAACAACATATTACCCTCTAAAACCAGTGAGGGCAGGCTCTGAGTGCTGCAGGAAGGAGCTACGTTTTGCAGGATCACTAACTTCAACAGCAGTGGCCAAAAGCCACTCATCCAAACTCCCACACCTACTTCCAAGTCACAAAGTTAACTTCTAGTCTGATATGAAAGCACATCACAGTGCCACCACCAAAACAGATAGAAGCTGACCCTCAACCAGCAACCTTAGAAGAAAAACGTATGGAATAAAAGAGTTGTGGACAAGACCATCCTAATTTTTTTCAGAACAAACAAAATCCTTCTAGGGCAGAGCTGAATCCATTTTTTGCCATGCAAGTTCACTGCAGAATGTATTAATGCAGCTGGAAAACAGTTCATCTGTATTTTCATACTCGCTTCTGCAAAGTGGAGCCTCTCAGCTGAAACTGTCATTGATCAACACAAGACGTAAAACTCTGGGTTTGTACCCCATTAAGATTACAGCAGTTTTCAGAGACGCCAATCTAGAGTCAAGTTCTCACTGAGGGGACTGCTAAACAAACATGTAGTAAAAAGACCACACCCAGAACAACAACATGCTGTTTGGTTGATAAGACATAGCTGACAGATGGAAAAAGAGCAGCAACAAGGAACATGTGTGGCAATTAGACAAAGTATTTGGCATACAGTAATGCATACAATATAGCTCGCCATGTCACCATTCAGTTAGTGAGAAGCTACATTGTGTATTCAAGCTTTTTTTCTTCTAAACAAACACAAAAAGGGAGTTATTAATCAGTCATCTCAACAGCAACAACGGACATCAGCATGCAGAAAGCTTAAATGAGGTATTTCTCTCCAACAATAGCCATGACTTTCTAGCCTTGCAAATCCCCTCTGCTGGCCTCAGCAGACAGTCCATCCCTTCAACCACAGAGCAATCACATACCTTTACAGGAGTGCCCATGTTCTAAAAGCCGTAAGGAGGGTACCCATTCTTCAGCATCCTTCCTCTTTGTGCCCAAAACTGGGACAAACATCAGCAAAAAGAGGCCATAGAGAACATTATCACAGAAAGAGGAATTCTTGGAACTTGCATCACAGAATCACTGCTGAAAGGTAAGGACCTGAGCACAGTAGTTTCTTCCTCTTTGTGGAAAAGAGTTGTCCTGCAGTGCTGTTCCCTTTAGCCTGCAATTTGCTAGCTTCCCTGGAAAACTAAAAAAAGGAAAGAGAAAAGTTAGATCTCTCTACTGTTGTGGATAAATCTAGCAAGCAGAAACACGTGAGTGGTGTAGGACGCAAGAGCATAACTAGACGTCAAATCCGTGAGAGGAACTATGAAGGTATTGCTGTTACTGAGGTGCAAGGCTTTGCCATACTCTCAACCTCCATCTGTCATAATCTCATTTCATCCTGAAATCCCCTGAAACTAGCAGGTTCAAGATGGAACAAAACACATCCTTGTCTCCATAGGTTTCATTATGCTCACGGGTTTCACGGAGCAGCTAAGAACCTGCATGCTATTCATAAGGAGCATTAAGGATGGAAGCAAGGACTGGTAGTTTAGGAGGAATACAGAGAGATTGTCTCAGCAGCCAGGGATCAGGTTAGAAAAGCTAAAGCCCTGACAGAACTAAACCTTGACAGCGATGTCAAGAGCAACATGAAAACCTTCTATAGGTACACTGGTGATAAAGGAAGACCAGGGAGAACATGTGCCTTCTCCAGGAGGAACAGGAGACTTGGTTACCCAGAACAATGAGAAGACTGAGGTACTCAACAATTTTTTGCCTCAGTCTTCCCCAGCAAGTGCTCCAGCCACATCACCCAAGTCACAGAAGACAAAGGCAGGGACGGATAGAATGAAGACCCACTGTATGTGGGTGTATGAATGAATGTACCCACTGTACAAGAAGATCAGGTTTGAGAACATCTAAGGAACCTGAAGGTGCACAAGCTCATGGGACCTGATGATATAGCTGCAAATCCTGAGGTTACTGGCAGAAGAAGTTGCTAAGCCACTATCCATCATATTTGAGAAGTCATGTCAGACTGGTGAAGTTTCCACTGACTGCACAAGGGAAAACGCAACCCCCATTTTTAAAAACAGAAAAAAGGAAGACTCTGGGAACTACAGGCTAGTCAGTCTCACCTCAGTGCTTGGCAAGATCAAGGATCCTGGAAACTACGCTAAGGCATACAGAAAATAAGGAGGTGACTGGTGACAGCCAACATAGCTTCACCAAAAGCAAATCATGCCTGAAAAATCTGGCAGCCTTCTGGCTACAAAATGGCAAGGTTACAGCAATGGTGGATGAGGGAAGAGTAACTGACACCACCTTGCATTTGACACTGTCCTGCACAACATCCTTGTCTCTAAACTGGAGAGACATGGATTTGATGGGTGGACCACTTGGTGCATAAGGAATTGGATGGATGGTTGCACTCAAAGAGTTGTGGTCAATGGCTCAATGTCCAAGTGGAAACCAGGGACAGATGGCAATCCTCAGATGTCAGTACTGGGACCAGGGCTGTTTAACATCTTTGTCACTGACATGGACAGTGGGATTGAGTGCATCCTCAGCAAGTTTGCTGATGATACCAAGCTGTGTGGTGCAGTCAACAAGCTTGAGGGAAGGGATGCCATCCAGAGGGACCTTGACAGGCTTGAGAGACTGAGGAGAGATCTCATTACAGCCTACAACTTCCTCACAAGGGGAAGTGAAGGTGCAGGCACTGATTTCTTCTCTCTAGTGATCAGAGGAAAGACCTAAAATAATGGAATGAAGCTGTGACAGAGGAGGTTTAGGTTGGATATTAGGAAAAGGTTCTTAGCCCAGAGGGTGTTTGAGCACTGGAACAGACTCCTCAGGGAAGTGGTCACCATACCAAGTCTGACAGACTTCAAGAAATGTTTGGACAACACTCTCAGGCACATGGTGTGACTCTTGGGGCTGTCCTGTGCAGAGCAAGGAGTTGGACTTCAGTGATTCTTGTGGGTCCCTTTCAACTCAGGATATTCTATGACTCCATGACCTGACAGCGTGTGCTTGCAGCCTGGAAAGCCAACCATATCCTGGGCTGCACCAAAAGAAGTGTTGTAGCAGGTCCAGAGGAAGGCCATGAAGATGACCAGAGGGCTGGAGCACCTCTCCTGTGAAGACAGGCTGAGAGAGTTGGGGTTGTTTAGACTGCAGAAAAGAAGGCTGAAGACAGCTTATGGCACCTTCCAGTACCTAAAGGTGGCCTATCAGAAAGATGAAAAGGAACTTTTCATGGGGATATAGTGATAGGACAAGGCGGAACAGCTTCAGACTGAAAGAGGGTAGGTTTAGGTTAGGAAGAAATAACAAAGAAATTCTTCATTGTGAGTGGCGAGACACTGGATCAGGTTGCCCAGAGAAGTTGTTGCTGCCCCATCCTTGGAAGTGTTCATGGCAAGGGGCTTTGAGCCCATGGACGGGGCTTTGAGCAACCTGATCTACTGAAAGGCATCCCTGCTCAAGGGAGATGGAATAAGATGTTGTTTAAGGTCCCTTCCAAGCCAAACCAGTCTATGATCAGGTAGCACTTTAAGCCTTTACACCCAACAAAATGACATATACTATTCTCAGACTGATTTTGCCCAGATTTAAAGGGCTATTTATGGTTAAGGCTAGAAAAAAAAGTCTTTGAAAGGTCCTGGACCACAAAGCAAACTGGATTTTTTTTTTTTTTTTTTGCTGCTGTTGTTGTTTTAGGTATTCAGGAAACCAATCCCTCATAAGGGATTTCAGTTTCAGCAGCACTATTCACTAAATTACAGTTTACTAGCAGAATTGAGATAAAAAGAAATTAAAATTTAACAGCAAGGATTGACGCAGCCCACAAAAACCAGGACATGTGCCAGAAGAAATGCCACAGAGCCCACACAGTCAGTATCTACTCATTCAGAACACAGATTACATAAAGGAGTGAGAATGAAAAGAAAAGACCCAGGCTCAGCACAGCAGCTGTCTGTTAAGACAGTCCCCTCTTCTGGGGATGTAAGTGATGTGCTCCTCCTGCCTGCCATACCACCACCTCAGCTGTCACTTCCTTCTTAGTCCCCCCTCCTCTGCCCTCCTCTTCATAAGTCTCTTATTTCCCTCCATCCAATAATCATACAGATCTGGCTGCCTTCGCACAATTCCACTAAGCTTTCTAATGCATAAGAAAACCAACCAGTATCCGTGCAGAGCTCTCTGATTGCACTGCAGAAGCAGCCAGACTTTCACTGTCTTTTCCTCACCCACATCTCACGGAAAATCCCACCCACTCAGCTATTTTCCTCTTTCCTCTACTTAGTGAACAGTGTTGCAGTCCCCAGGCCACAAGTTCTCACTGTCCTCCTAGATGAAGCTTCAGGTTTCTAAACCCATAAATCTCTGTGTATTCAGAAACACAGACCTAGCAAATTCCTTGATACTTTAGTTATTTTGCAGTACGTATCCAAGATGTGCTGGTTGAAATGCCTGGTTGAAACTCTGCTTCAGCTTGGCCTGGCTGTCAAAGGTGTGTGGCTACTCCCCATGCAGCTGAGGAGTTTCACAGAAACTTACCAATATTTAGGAATCTACAAAATCTCCCTCCAGCATCCTACAGAACCAGATTTTTCATATCACCAAAAAAAACATCAACACAAAGCTGGCCCTGTAGGTTCATCTACCCAAGCTATTTCTGCCTGACTCTGCAACTCCTTTCCTTCTGTAAAGCAAACCACAAGTCGCACAGGCTCTCTCTCAAGTAAAAAAGAGAAAGATCCATCATTTCAGCTACAAGGGTTTTTAAGTCAATTAGAGTCTGAGTCTTGTGATCCGAACTAGCTGGACACAGGGAATTAGTTATCTGCATTAATCAGCACAGCAGCTTCTCATTTTATTACGCTCATATGAAGTGGTAAACTAGGCACCACGTCGGGTGACCTCCAGAGATGAAGTGGCTGCCAGACAATCAACTTTCTTCTAGTTTACACACTGCCTGCAGCTTTAAGGATGCTCTTGCAGCTAGAATACATTGAGGTAAAGAACCTAGTTGCAAGTAGCTGGTATCCAAGACGTTGTCACTCACTTAACAGAATGCAGAGGTAAACTGCAACAGTATATGTGCTAAGAACTGCTGGGTAACAAGCCAGGAGACAAATTCTGAAAATCAGAAATAGAACGTATCATCGTAGCTAGGCCGGAAAAAAAATGCTGAATTGTCCATCAGGTCTTAATAATCTTAATCCAAGTACAGAGCAAGCAATGGCCTCCCACCACCTGCAGGAAAAATGGGGATTTGGAAAGGTTCACCTTGGTTTGACTCAAGGAGAAATACTGGCATAATCAAGGTAGGCAGCGTGGAATCATAAAATAAACTGTATTCGTGCCATTGCTTCTCTCAAGTCAGTAAGAAAAAGGAAGTCCAGTAATGGGAATACATTTTGTTGTATTAAAGCTGCTGTGAAGCCAGAGGCACACTGTGCAAAGCTCCAGAAGGAAGCACAAGTGTAGCCATACACATAAAAGGAACAGTAACATAATAATGGCACATTCATGCGGCTACAGCTACAAAGCCAGCTGGGTGCATGCTATAAGGAGCTGATGTATTGAGATTCTAGGAAATCTGTTATGCCTCTTGGTTTTATTTGGGGGACTGATATCCAACCAAGATAAGAGAATCATTTATCTCTGTGCAGAATGTCCTGTCAATCCATGTGCACAAATGTCCACTACCAATGGCATGTCCATCTCATGCCACACACAAGGTGACTATTCTCCAGCGAAAGGCACAGTATTTTCTCACAATAAGTAAAGCATGCACAAGCCAACAAACAAGAATGCCCATGAGACCTTAAGTTTAAAATACATTCACAGAAAACTGAAAAGTCAGCGCAAAAGGTACTAGGCAGGATCCAGTATCAGCTGTCAAGGACGAAAGCCACATCAATGGCCAGTGTCTACAAAAAACACTCATTCTCTCATCAGGGCTGAAATTTGTCATATTCATTTACATACAAGCTAAAAAAAAGTGGCAAAAGGAAAAAAAAAAAAAAGACTTCTGCCAACTGCTTAAGTCTAAGGACTTTTCACTGCAAATGAACCACCACCAGCACTGTCAGCTCCTTCTGTCCTCCTCAAATGCAGCAAGCCAGCCAGATGGCAACTTTTAGTCCAGTCTCATCTTGTACCAGATCTGCTTTCCAAGCCAGAACAACATTCATCCACCCGCGACCCTACACATCAGTGGGGAAAGAAGAATCACCCCCTTCCTCCTCAATTATTTCCTTTCCCAAACCACTCAGGGTCACTTAAGCAGTATCATGGGAGCTCCTCAACCAACAATTAAGCTGGGTATGATCACCCAGGCAGAAAGCTCAGCTACGGCTTCCCTAACAAACACAGTTCTTCTTTCAGTCTCATTTTCTTCCTCATTGTCAGAGCCTCAGTCACAGTTCTACACAGGTCACCGCTTTAGGAAAACACCGGTGTTGGTACCTCATTGGCTGCTTTTTCTGACCAGCACCAGATAAAACCGGTTGTATTTGGAAGATACTAAAAGCTACAAGATCTCACTAATCCCAGAAGCTTTAATGAGAAAGGCCTTTCTCTCTCCCTTCCCCACACGGGGCATGAGAAACCAGGTGACTTGGACCAGTCCGAGAACTTGGAGAACATTTCCTTTCATGTGCAGAAAAGACATTTTGGGTCAGACTACACCATTATAGCTGAATAAAGTACAGCTGAAATTATGCTTATTTGCTAAGATTTCTACTCACAAATGTAGGTAAGATCTAAAGATAATGACAATCCACTGCTTTTCATTAAGAAGTCCATGAGCTAGAGTGTGGCAAAACCAGCAATTAATTCTTAAAAAAAAATCCAGTCCAGCAAGCTCAATGAGTGGTCTGAAGACCCCAGTAACCTCCCAGCTCTGCTGAACAGAGACAGTGGGGAAAGGAGGGCGATCGGTGCGCAAGGTGGGCTCGGCGGGACCACCAAACCCTACGGCCTTCCTACAGGCACCGGTCCCCCCACCCTACCCGACGATACACCCACCGATACACCCGCAGCGCCGCGCAAGGGGCGAGGCTACACCGAAACGAAAAGCTGAGGCCGCCGCGGGGCAGGCAGAGCCGGCCCTTCCCGCCGCGCGGGAGCCCCGAGCGACCCCCGCCGCCGCTCTATCAGGCCTCCCGCGGGCGCTCCGGGCCGGCAGCGGGGCCGCCGCCACACGGGGGACGCCCGTCGCGGCGGGGCGGCCCGGCTGGGCTGCAGTCCCCTCGCCCCGGGAGCCCCGCTCCCCGCTCCCCGGCGGCCGAGGGGAAGCGCCGCTCCCGCCGTTACCGTGGGCTCCGGCGGCGGCCGCGACGTCAGTCCCGCTGCCCCGCGCGGCCGCTGCCCGGCGCTGGCAGCCGGAGGTGACGCGCTCCCGGGGCGGGGCCCAGTGACGCACCGGCGGCGGAGGCAGGAGCGGCAGGATCAGTGGGATCAGCGGGATCAGCATGGTGAGCCGGCAGCGGCCCGGGGGGCGGAGGGCGGGCTGGGGTCGGGTCTCTCCTCGGCTCGTCGCGGCTGAGTGTCCGTCTCCCCGCAGGGGAAGCAGAAGAAGGCGCGGAAGTACGCGGTGATGAAGCGCATGATCAGCCTGCGGGATGAGCGCATGTGAGTGTGGCTGCGCTCCCAGCCGGGCCCTGCAGCCTCCTCGTGTCCCGCTCGGGAGAGGCGGGAGGGGATCCCGGCCCGGGCCTCTCCACCGCTGGCCGCCCTTCCCTGTCACTCGTCCCCACGGAGTGCCTGTGTTTCTTTGCAGTAAAGAGAAGGACCGGGCGAAAGCCCCCGTGAAGAAGAAAAGGAGGACCCGAGCGCCATCAAAGAGCGGGAGGTGTAAGTACTGCCGATACTTTGGGGAAAGAGAGATGGAGGGAGAGAAGAAGGGAGCAAGGTCCGGCCACGCTGTAGGCTGTAACCGAGGATGTTTCTGAGCAAAACTGTCAGAGAAGGACATGGTGTGCCAAACCAAGGGGCTGTGCTTGGGAGGTAGCAGGAGTCTTCCTGCTCATTACTCCTCCTTCATTCTGTGCAAGTTGCAGGATTGGACATGTTGCTAAATGCATCTAACTGATTTGAATTCTTTGTCTTCCTGGCAGCCCCCAGCACCCCTCTTGCTTGTTCTTCCAGTATAATACACAGCTGGGCCCCCCTTACCACATCCTGGTTGACACTAACTTCATCAACTTCTCCATCAAGGCCAAGTTGGATCTAGTGCAGTCAATGATGGACTGTCTCTATGCCAAGTGTGAGTGTCTGCACCACTTCTGACCAAGCAGTGCCACAGTGTGCTTGGAATGTGCTTTGTCAGCCTCATGCCACTGGCTGAAAATAACAGAAATCTTGAAAAAAGGATATGTGCCGTAATCTTGGAGCTCATTGTTCATGGCTACGATAACCCTGGAACTGTCTTTGGTTTCAGTCAAACAGTGGTCTTAAATGCTAGTCTAAACAAAGGTAGAGCATTAGTACTTAAATATCTAAAATTACTGTGGCATGGTCAAACTCAGTGGCTCTACGTTTCATCACTTTGCAACCTTATCAGTTCTTCCCATAAGTAGTATGTTTTATAGTTCCATGATAGTTCTTGGACATGTGGGCAATTAGAAGTCTGTGAATAAATACTGCTTTGTATTAATACGGGCTTTTTTTGCATGTAGGTATTCCATGCATCACAGATTGTGTAATGGGTGAAATCGAGAAGTTAGGACAGAAGTACCGTGTGGCGTTAAGGTAGGTGCATTGTGTTCTCTTTTGCCATGACTGGTGCTCCTGCACCAGAGGGTGGTTAGGTTGTTGCAGAGTTCTGAACTTCTTTTTATTTCTCTGGCTGTACAAGATGAGTACAATGTCTCGAGTTTTAGATTTTTTTAGTTTTTAAAACAAAATGCTATGTATGAGGGCACAGTATCAATCTGTAATCTTTTATCCTCCTAACACTTTCAAAGTAAGCCTTTTTCCTGTTTCTCAAAAAATATATTTTTTTTTAATTTTAGAATTTCTAAAAACGAATAAAGAAGTGACCCAAGTCTTATGGAACTTTTTACTCATACTTCATATTACTCCTATATGAGTAGGTACCATGTACTGATAATCTAAAGCTAGGTTATTGTACTGTACAACAACTAGTCCAACGTAGTTCATGTCCTCCACTCAGATGTTCTTTACTTTTTGTTTTGACCTGCTGTGTTGTAAACTATCCGAGTACATCCCCTAAGCAGCTTTGATGGTGCCCTTCAAAGAGAAGGTGCAATGTCCCTAAATGCATGGTACAAACGATCACATACTGAAAGTTCTAGTTCTAGTTCTTCCCACAGATAACTTATTTCAAATTACTTTGTTTGGCAATGGCCTGACATTATACAGACTTTGAATCCAACTAACCAGTTCTAAGAAGTATGTAACCTATAATAATTAGACAAACTGCGTTCTTTTTTGGTCCTCATTTCATTTGACTTTTATGTACCATTTACTCCATCCCTTCAGCCCTTGTTTTGAGAACAATGTTCTGTATATCACACACAGAAAGGGCTGTTCTTATTCCTCCATACTGTGTTACTGTACTGTCTGGTTTGATTACTGTGATGCTGCCTTGTGTGTCCCCACAGAATTGCCAAGGACCCTCGGTTTGAACGCTTGCCATGTATGCACAAAGGAACCTATGCAGATGACTGCTTGGTACAGAGAGTCACTCAGGTATTTCCCTCTCTGACATTTTCTGTACTGTGCTAACATACTAAAAATTCCTGGGCCCTCCTAACTACTAATGACTTAAATTTCCCACAAAGTAACTACAAAATTGCACTAAGGGGCAGTTTCAGTGTCTACAGCAACTTTATTTGACGTAAGGTGTTGTCTTCCCTGGGCATTCTTGTTGCATAGAACAGCATTAAGAAGCACTGAGGATGGGAAAGCTGTCAGCTTGGAAGGCTGGACAGACTTTCAGAAATTTCTGTGAGTCTATTTTGATGAGCAGAAGGATGTTACTGTGGAATTCTGTACAAGTCCTAATAATGCCTTGCTAAGGACTCTTAGCCTTCTTGTGTTCAACGAGCTCACTGAATAGAAATCTTTGATCGGTTATGTCTCCTTTCTGTGGGTTCATTGGTGTTAAATCTGACCTGCCTTCTTTTTTTGCAGCACAAATGTTACATTGTGGCCACCGTAGATAAAGAGCTCAAGCGAAGAATACGAAAAATCCCTGGAGTGCCTATAATGTATATTTCCAGGCACAGGTAAGGGTCCCCTGACAGAGAGAAACCCTGCCCAGTACAATCCTTGTCTGACAGGGACTCTGTCACCATGTACTTCTCTCCTGCACTGTCTGTAGTGCAGGCTGCAGTAAAGGGCCTGGTGTTTGCACAGAAGTTAAATACAACTACTGCTGGGAAAAGATTGGCCACAGACCCACTTTTATTGCAGTTCTACTTGTTCACTTGTCTTTACTTTCCTTGAGGCCAGTGTTTCCATAGATCAGTTTTGCTTACTAGCAGCAGCAGGACTACCAGGCAAATGTGTTCTACAGGTCCTTGAGGAAAAGAACATTCTTGTTCCATATTCCATTTGACAGCTTTGCGTATCCTCAGCTAAGAGAGTGAATTTGCTTCTTAGCTAAAAACTAAACAACTCATAAGGATACTGGTGCAGCATGTTAGAAATGAGGAGGTTGATTGCTAGAAATATGTAAAGTCTTAAGTGATCTATAATTAGAATGTGGCTCAGAAAATTTTTCTCTCAAAATGTCTTTGCATCTTATTCACTATGGCTGTGAACTTTTGGAACAGGATGCCCAGCAGGGTAGTGGAGTCACCATCCCTGGAGGTGTTCAAGAAATGCCTGGACGTGGCACTTAGTGCCGTAGTCTAGCTGACAAGGTGGTGTTTGGTCAGAAGTTTGACTTGGTGATCTTGGAGGTTTTTTCTAACCTAAATGAATTTGTGATTCTGTGAATTATAAGTTGAATGTCAAAAGTTTTATTCTCTGTGGTGGTCTGCTCTTAAATCCTGTCTTACAGGACCACCTTTTTTTTTTTCCCTTCTCTGGAGATGGTGAGTTTCTGAGATGCCTGATTTCTGAGTTTAGGGTGAAGAATAACAGCAGTGTTATGAAGACTTTTTACTTTCAGAACTAATATTTTTCTGGGAATCTGAGCTGCAGATAAAAATGCAACAAAGCTTCTTGCTGTTCAGTCTGCCTGTAAGCCTGTTGCTGCATGGTGTTGTGAATGGGTGGTTTAGGCCACTGCAACAGTCACCGTTAAAGATATTAGCAAAAGCAAGTTTTAATATAAATTTGCAGAAGTGCAACTTAACGGAGTTCGATGTCAAGGTTCACTCTCTCTTGCTACGTGGATGAAAAATGCAAAGGAAAATCATCTTAGAATCAATTTAGGATGACTTGCATGGAGACTGGGAGTGCAAAGTGTAAGGAAGACCCTCCTGTTGAGTCACAGGGTTCAGAAAGGATCTCCTTGCTTTCTAAACTCGTGACGGAGTCTAGGTGTGGCTGAATCCAATCCTAGCTCCAGGCTTGGTCAATGGTTTATGTCTAAAAATTCAATATAAAATCCTTCCATCTGGTCACAAGGTTCAGAATGGACTCCCTTACTTTTTAAACTCCTGACGGAGTCCAGGTGTGGCTGGATCCAATCTTAATCCCAGATTTGATCAACAGTTTCTGTCTAAATTAGATTTTAGCAGCACTTAATCATGACTAACTTAACATTTATAAAGTGATTCAATAGGATTTACTATAATTATAACAGTGACTTAATTATAGATGCAGGAAACAACATTCATACTACACTTGGTAAAGAGTATTTCAGCCAATTCACACGTGTGCACATGAAACAGAGATGGATGTATCTAAATGTGTAAAGGTACCTGGCAAAAATTCCCTTCAGGTTCACTGAAATACGTTGAATGCCTCTGCATTTTTCAACAGGCAAGGGCTGAGCTACGGTCCTTCAAGTATCGCATACTTGAGAGTTCATGAGCTCTGAGAGGTGTCCCCCTCAGAGGGAGGTGCTGGTACAGCACTCTGCAGCCCAGGAGAGCTCAAAGGATTTCACTTAAGACCACTGTTCATAGAGTCGCAAGGTGATTGGTTTTAGTCGTCCATAAATTGCACATCTAGGCCACAATCCAGATTGGTAATTACTAGAGTTTCCAAAACTCCAGTAACAATGGTACCATTCCACTCAGGCCACGATTCAGATGGGGCAAGGGATGACTGTTTAGTGGCACTCTCATCCTTCACCTTAGCTAGGCAACAGGAGTTGCTGGTTCAGTCACTCCTGTTCCATCTTGGCCATGCAAGACTTCCTGGTATGTTCAAGGGATGCTTCACCACCCAACTCAT